TACTGATAGCCAGACATCCTGGAATGTGAAGTCAAGTGGGCCTTAGGAAGCATCACTACAAACAAAGCTAGTGGAGGTGATGGAATTCCAGTTGAGCTATTTCAAATTCTAAAAGATGATTCTGTGAAAGTGCTGCACTTAATATGCCAGCAAATTAGTGTAATAAATTTTGTGTAATAAAGTTTCATTAGAGCATAAAGGAGATAGAGAAAGCTTCTGACATAGGCATCAGGAGGGGGCAGAAAGAGTACCCCCTTGCTGGTGTTAGCAATGGAGTTATATACTCTCTAATTAGTTATTACGGTGAATCAAAAGAATGTCTGGAGGTTGTAAAGACATCACTAGACCTACTCCCATAATTTACAATTTAAGATAATAGGATTAGCCAGAAGGTTTTTTTCCAGAGACTGTCCTCAAGCAGGATATATTATCGTTATATAATCCTAAGGAATGTAGAGGGGGAAAAAAAGTTTGTCCTTTCTTCCTCCTTGAGAATTCCAGACCCCTCTCTCCTTGGGGACCCCTAGACTTCTTATCAACCTGCCTAGGAATTGACTCTCTCACTACTTCCCAAATAAGTGACCTTCCCATGACCAGAGGTGGGTAAAGCAGGACTGGTGACCACCATTGTTGTTGAGGAAGGGTGGATGAACTAAAACAATTGGTTGATTCCTACACTGTTGGTTGAAATGTAAATCAGTACAGCTACTATGGAGAACAGTATGGAGGTTCCATTAAAAAAATACACACACACACACACACACACACACATAAATAGAGATACTGTAAAATCCAGCAATCCCACTCCTGGGCATATATTCCAAAAAGATGAAAAGTCTAATTTGAAGAGATACATGCACCCAGGGTTCAGGCTCATAGCAGCACTATTTACAATAGTCAGGACATGAAAAACTACCCAAATTCCTATCAACAGATTTGGTTTCAGAAGATGTGAACTATTACATCATGGAATATTACTCAGTAGTTTAAAAAAATGAAATATTGACACTTGCAGCAATATGGATGGACCCTTAGAATATCATGCTAAGTGAAGTAAGTCAGATAAAGACAGGTATTTTATCACTAATATGTTGAATCTTAAAAATAGTGCAAATGAATCTACATACCAAACAGATTTGGGATTAATGGATACAAACTAGTATACACAACATAGATAAGGAACAAAGATTTACTACATAGGACAGGGAACTATATTCAATATCTTGTAATAACCTATAATAGAAAACACTGAAAAAATATATAGAGAGATAGATAACTGAGTCACTTTATATACTTGGTTTACAGTATTGTAAAAGTAGGAAGTCAAAAAATACCTGGAGTAACAGGCAAGTTTGGCCTTGGAGTACAAAAATGAAGCAGAACAAAGGTTAATAGAGTTTTGCCAAGAGGACCCACTGGTCATTGCAAACACCCTCTTCCAACAACACAAGAGATAACTCTATACAGTGGATATCACCAGATGGTCAATACTGAAATCAGATTGATTATATTCTTTGTAGTTGAAGATGAAGAAGCTCTATACAGTCAGCAAAAACAAGACCAGGAGCTGACTGTGGCTCAGCTCAACTCCCTATTGCAAAATTCAGGCTTAATTGAAGAGCTTAGGGAAAATCACTAGGCCATTCAGGTATGACCTAAATCAAATCTCTTATGATTATACAGTGGAAGTGACAAATAGATTCAAGAGATTAGATCTGATAGAGTACCTGAAGAACTATGGATGGAGGTTCATAACATTGTACAGGAGGCAGTGATCAAAACCATCTCCAAGGAGAAGAAATGTAAAAAGGCAAAATGGTTGTTTTCCAAATAGCTGAGGAAAGAAGAGAAGCGAAAGGCAAAGGAGAAAAAGAATGATATGCCCATCTGAATGCAGAGTTCCAGAGACTAGCAAGGAGAGATAAGAAATCCTTTTTAAGTAAACAATGCAAAGAAATAGAGGAAAACAATAGAATGGGAAAGACTAGAGATCTCTTCAAGAAATTTAGAGATAAAAGGGGAAAATTTCATGCAAAGATGGGCACAATAAAGGACAGAAACTGAATGGATCTAATAGAAGCAGAAGATATTAAGAAAAGGTGGCAAGAATACACAGAACTATACAAAGAAGATCTTAATGACCCGAATAACAATGGTGTGATCACTCACCTAGAGCCAGACATCCTGGAATGTGAAGTCAAGTGGGCTTTAGGAAGCATCAGTACAAAAAAAGCTAGTGGAGGTGATGGAATTCCAGCTGAGATATTTCAAGTCCTAAAAGTTGATGCTGTTAAAGTGTTGCACTAAATATGCCAGAAAATTTGGAAAACTCTGCAGTGGCCACAGGACTGGAAAAGGTCAGTTTTCATTCCAATCCCAAAGAAGGGCAATGCCAAAGAATGTTCAAGCGACTGCACAGTTGCACTCATTTCACATGATGGCAAAGTAATGCTCAAAATCCTTCAAGCCTTAAATCCAGGCTTCAACAGTATATGAAGCAAGAACTTGCAGATGTCCAAGCTGGATTTAGAAAAGGCAGAGGAACCAAAGATAAAATTGTCAACATCCATTGCATCATAGAAAAAGCTAGAGAATTCCAGAAAAACATCTATTTCTGCTTTATTGACTATGCTAAAGCCTTCGACTTTGTAGATTACAACAAACTGTGGAAAATTCTGAAAGAGATGGGAATACCAAACCATCTTACATGCCTCCTGCGAAACCTGTATGAAAGTCAAGAAGCAACAGTTAGAACTGGACATGGAACAATGGACTGGTTCCAAATTGGAAAGGGAGTACATCAAGCCTGTATATTGTCACCCTGCTTATTTAACCTATATGCAGAATACATGATGTGAAATGTTCTAGGCTGGATGAAGCACAAGCTAGAATCAAGATTGCCGAGAGAAATATCAATAACCTCGGATATGCAGATGATACCACCCTTATGGCAGAAAGTGAAGAGCTTCTTGATGAAGGTGAAAGAGGAGAGTGAAAAAGTTGGCTTAAAACTCAACATTCAAAAAATGAAGATCATGGCATCCAGTCCCATCACTTCATGGCAAATAGATGGGGAAACAATGGAAACAGTGACAGACTTTAAGGGTTCCAAAATTACTGCAGATGGTAACCGCAGTCTTGAAATTAAAAGAGTCTTGAACCTTGGAAGAAAAGGAATGACAAACCTAGACAGTATATTGAAAAGCAGAGACATTATTTTGCCAACAAAAGTCTATATAGTCAAAGCTATGGTTTTTCCAGTAGTCATATATGGGTGTGAGAGTTGGGCCATAAAGAAGGCTGAGCACTGAAGAATTGATGCTTTTGAACTGTGGTGTTGGAGAAGACTCTTGAGAGTCCCTTGGACAGCAGGGAGGTCAAGCCAGTCAATCCTAAAGGAAATCAGTCCTGAATATTCATTGGAAGGACTGATTCTGAAGCTGAAGCTCCGATACTTAGGCCACCTGATGTGAAGAGCTAACTCATTGGAAAAGACCCTGATGCTGGGAAAGATTGAAGGCAGGAGAAGGGGATGACAGAGACAAAATAGTTGGATGGCATTACCGACTCAATGGACATGAGTTTGAGCAAACTCTGGGAGATGGTGAGGGTCAGGGAAGCCTGGAGTGCTGCAGGCCACAGGGTCACAACTGAGCAACTGAATAATAAAAAAAAGCTCAAATATTTCAGTAAAAATTACTTTTTTAAATCGAGTGAACTCTATTATCCTGAAGTCGCTCCAGTCCTGAGTTTAAGAAAAGCAAATCAAATCTAATAAATTAAAACCAAAACACTGAACTCCTAGATTATTGTCATCACATCATAAAACCTGGACAGTTCCCCCTAAAGGAAAAACAGATGCTCTTTATACTTTCTGATACTCTGTCTTAAACCATTTGGACCCAATACGTTTGATCTCTTGCCACATTGGAAGGGAAGCACTTGCCAAGGTCATCAGATAAGTTCCACAGAACTCATCTTCCCTTGGGACTTAGTCAAATGAGAACTGCTGAGCCTGTGAGCAGAGGAGCATGTGGGTCACAGCAGAGGGCTTTGAGGGAACATTTCAGGTTCAGGGGCTACCATGACTGTCACTCAAGGAGCCCTTTAAATATCCCACCAGGGGCCAAACAATTGGAGAAACTTCTTTAAAACAAAGCAATAAATATTTCCCTCATTTTGGAAATGAACCAGGAACATCTAAAACAACCAATAGGAAGTCCTAATGCACAAGAGTCTAGGAGTATCAGCCTAAGTTGACATCTCACCAGACAGGAGAAAAAGTGAAAAGCACTTGGAATTTTAATTGCAGGGTGGCTTTATCTAAGTGACTGCACAATTTCTTTTTGTGTTTTAACAAACAGAGCTTGCAGACCACCAATTTCCCCCAGACCCCTTACAGATGACTGTTCTAGCTTATTTTTACACGGGACACTGGGTCCGGGTTGCACTCCCCACATGGTTAAATGCAATCTCCAGATTGAATTCTTGCTGAGCCACCTGGACATGTTACTTCACTTCTCTGAGCTTCACTTTCCACATCTGCTGAGTGATGATGCTAACACCCCCAAGCAGGGCTGGGTTACATATTCGGGCACCATGTGTGAAGTCCTCAGCATTTTTGTTGGTACCTGATGGGACTGTGGGCCATGAAGTCTCATGAAGCACTTTTTTTCATGGTGCATTTCTAGACCTGCCCAGTCTCCTTGAGGGAGGGAAAGTGGAAGGTACTGGACTAGATGGAACATAGCCAACATCATTCCTAGGAAAAGGCTTGCCCCACCCTGCACCAGGCCTCCTTAAAATTTCTCTGTAACAAGCTGGCCAACAGCCAGCGCATGGCTCAGTGAGCAGCTGTGGGTATGAGCAGCTGCGGGTGTGAGCAGCTTTTTAGGAAAGGCAGGAAGAGTAGCTGGGGAAAGATAAACTGTGGGCTTCAGGACGCAGGCTGCTGTACGGACAGCAGCCTTTCCGGGACCTGTGGTCTAAAAGCGAAGAAGATGAGTGCACCGGGAGACACAGCCTGGACAGACTCTGAAGGCTTCAGAGGGTGAGTGGCTCATTTGTCTCACTTTCCATGCCGGGGACAAGGGAAAGGCAGGAGTGCTTATTCTTTTGGGGGTCCACAAAGGGTAGACTACCTGTAGCAGAAGTAAGGAGACCCAAGCCCGCTCTTGTCTGGTTACGAGCAAGCTGTTCAATCTTGAGCAAGTCATCTGCCCTCTCTGGGCCTGTTTTCTCATCTATAAAATAAGGAATTGGCCAAGTCTAATAACCAGACTAATAACCATACTAACATTTGTGCAGTGTTTACGAGTTTCACTTTTGAAATAGAATCTCATTGGGTCCCCGTGGCAACCCTTTGCTGAAGGATTGACTGTCACATTTACAGATGAAGAGGGCTTCCCAGGTGGCACTAGTGATAAAAAAAAAAACCACCTGCTAATGCAGAAGATGTAACAGACATAGGTTTGATTCCTGGAGTGGGAAGATCCCCTGGAGAAGGACATGGCAACTCTCTCCAGTATTCTTGCCATGAACAGAGGAGCCTGGCGGGCTACAATCCATGGGTTTGCCAAGGGTTGGGCACAACTGAAGCGACTTAGCACACACGAACACACAGATTAGGAAACTATCACACACTGGGGCCAGTGGGCCTAAGAACCTGGTCTCCTGGGGACAGTTCTGGCCTCTCGCCAATACCAGGCTCCCCTGGAGCTCTGAAACCTGCAGATTCCCGGTTTCTTGTTGCGGACTACCTCCTTTTCCCTACCCTCCCTCACTCTTTACTTCCCACGTTGTGTCTTCTCCAGCCTCTTTGCAGAGCTTCCTTTCTCATCCTGTAGGCCAGGCACACTAATATTTCTGAGACGAGGGAGGTTAACATGTGATACCCCGCCCCCATGATCCCTGGGTTAGCACTTGTGTGCAGCCCGTTTCCTAGAACTCGCTCTGCTTTGTGGAATGTCTTCCTGTGGGGTCCCAAGAAAAGTAGTAGGTGAGGCTGTTTAACCTTTGGGGCCGCGCTTCTCCAGGTGTGAGCCTGGACCATGTTGTGTGGGTCACAGACATTCAGGGTTCTGCCTACATATGCAGATTCCTGGGCCCCACCCCAAAGTTGGTGAATACGCAGATTGCTGGGCCCTGCCCCGAATTTGGTGAGTCAGAAGGGGCATTTCACCAGCTTCCCCTGTTTCTGACAAGCACTTACCAGGGCCTGGGAACCATGCTCTCAGGTGACTGCCCTGTTGGGCTGCAGAGAGCTGTTGATAGACTTCTTAGGAGTGACCACACTTATATTACTAAAATAAGTCCTTCCTGATGATGATAATTGATTTCTACTTTCTGGCCATGCCATATGGCATGTGAGATCTTAGTTCCTCGATCAGGGATCGGACTCTCATCCCCTGTAGTGGAAGCTTGGAGTCTTAACCACTGGATCGCCAGAGAAGCCCTAATTTTTTAAGTAAACTTTAGGATTTAACTAGGTTATATTTTAAAGTTTTGCATCCCTGTAAAGGAAACTTGTCTAGAATTTTCTCTTTTCGCATGCTGTCTTCAGTGGGCTTGGGTAATGATAGCTTTGTAAAATAAACTAGGGATCTTACGGTCATTTTCTACAATCTGAGATGGTTTGACATTGGACTTATTTTCTGAAGATTAGAGAAAGCTCAACTGTGAAAACAAGCTGGGCCTGACATTATTTTAAATGTTGACATTTAGCCCCCTTACTAACTATTTAAATGATTATTGGTCTGTTCAGATTGTTACTTCTTGAAATTAATTCATTTCTCTATGTTCACCAATCTCTTGCACACAATACTCATATTTCTGTAGCTATTTTCTGGATTCTATTGCCTTTCTCAATATTAATATTTTTATTTTTTCACTTTCTCTAATCACGCTTTTTTACTTAGTATTTTCTTAGGACCGACTTGTTTTTTTCACAATGAGCATGCATGCTTAGTCACTCAGTCATGTCCAACTGTGACTCCACGGACTGTAGCCCTCCAGGCCCCTCTGCTCATGGGATTCTCCAGGCAAGAATACTGGAGTGGGTAGCTGTTCCCTTCTTTAGGGGCTCTTGCTAACCCAGGGATCAAACCTGGTTCACCTGCATTCCAGGCGGATTCTTTACCATCTGAGCCCAGGGAAGCCCTTTTTTCACTATCCTGAGGCATAATTGATGTGCAATTATTAATAAAAATGAACAATTTGATGCATCTGTAAAACCATTGCTGTAACCAAAATCAGTTTACCATTTTGACCTTTTTTCCCCCCAGTTTTCTAGTTCCTTAATTTCAGATTTTAAACTTGATTCTATCCTTCTATTCATGTATGTGTGTGTTTTATTCTTTTTCTAGTTTCTTAAGTGAAAGCCCATTTATTTCATTTTTCAAAAGGTTATACTCCATTATAGTTATAAAATATTGGCTACATTCCCTGTGTTGTACAATATATCCTTGTAGCTTATTTTATACATAGTACTTTGTACCTCTTAACCCCTTACCTCTATCTTTCCTCTCTACCTGTCCTCTCCCTACGAGTAAACACTAGTTTGTTCTCTATATCTGTGAATCTGTTTCTTTTCCATTATGTTAATAGTATGTTTTAGTTTTTACATTCCACATATAAGTGATATAATAAAATATTTGTCTTTCTCTGACTCATTTCACTTTAACTCACTTATTTTTAATCTTATTTATATATACAATTAATTCTCTTTTTTTTTTTTTGTGGTAGCTGTATTCTGTAAAGTCACCACAAACCCTGAATGAGGAAATTCTGCACCTTTATTCCTGGGGAAAATAAATACAGGATTTGGTTCCTACCAGCCGATGGGCACACAGTTTTCATATAATGATCAATACATGATTTGTTTTATGTGTTTCTGTTTAAAGACTCCTTTAAAGCAGAAATTGTTGATTCATTAACATAGACCTTATGGTCAACAGCACTAGAACTCGTGTCTGAACAAAGCTTATCTAACAATGTAATTTCTGCATAAGGCAGATCACAGACTTTGTGCTTAGGAACACTAGAAGGTATTTTGTATTTCCTAGGGGCCATTTTAAAGAGCAGAATCACCAATGAAGAGTGCAAAAATGTGAAACACACAACACTAAATAGATTGTGGGAAAGGCATTTGTTTATAGTCTGAAAGCTGAGACAAGTAGGCAGATTGCTGCTTGTGTTGACCTCAACAGGAAACACGCACATCAAGTGACTCAAATGCATTCCCACTTTACCCATGTCCACAGTGATCTCAGAAATGCTGCAAGTATAAGGGGGTTACAAATAAATTTTAGTGAGTAGGCTTATTTCCATATATGGAATCTGCAGATAACGAGGATTGATTGTAGCTAAATTATTTAAAGTTATATTAAACTCATGGGATAAAGACAAAAGCCATTCTCACGAAGGAAATTTAGAGAATAAGATGACATAAATTCTCATTCATTGACTCATCATTGACTCAAGTTTGGATTGCTGGGTTCTGATGCCACACAAAGTGTTAATCTCTGTTCTTATCACAGTTTAGCTAGCCTATCTGTGAGGGTTTAAGATGGCTGATGCCCTTGTGACATTGCTGATACATCCTGGACCTGGAGAGTCAAGCCCGCAGTCGCAGCCCTTGCATGGCTTATACTTGAAATGTTCAGGCAGAGGGTGGAGGTTCTTGGGTGTGATGGGAAAAGCAGTGGCCTTGGAGTTGACCTGCTGAATAAATTCTGCTAAATAACTGAAGTGCTCTGAGCCTGTTTCCTCCCTGTAAAATGTCTTAGGGAGGAAGCTCAGAGCGGTCGAGTACTTTACATTTGGTAACAAGAACCAAAGCAAAGAGTGAGTGGGAAGGATTCAGAGCACAGTAAAGAGCTGGGTAAATGTGAGGTGGGATGTCGCTGTCACCGTGTTAATAACACCCATGGAGTGAGCCATTCTCTGAACTTAAGCCCATCGTCTGAGGTCCAGTTCACCGGGGCCCTGTCATCCCAGAACCTAAAGAGACTTAAGCCTGGGTCAGCCAATGCCCTAGATGGAAGGAAGAGACTTAAAGACAACAAGAAGCAGCTGTGGGGAAGCACTGCTCCCACCCTGAAGCTGGTTCAACCACTTGGGAAGACCAAGACCCCAGCTGGAGGAAGACAGAGGTCCTGGGGCCACTGTGAGGCCTCCTGAGCCCTTGGACACCCCAAACCCACCCACCTGTCTCTTCTGTCTCCCAGCACCATGACCGCCGAGGAGGACACCAAGTGGCTTCAGTGGGTGACACAGCAGTTTAAGACCATTGCAGGAAAAGATGGGGAGATCAACCTGCAAGACTTCAAAAAAGCCCTGCAGGTGAAAGAGGCAAGTGTCTGCTCCAGAAGTGGGGACCCCGTGCTTATATTTTGTAGAGGAGGAGCAATCTGGTTTCCAGGGCACAGTACCTCACAAGGAGGGAAAAGTCTCTGCTACTGGGGCCCTTCCATCCATGGTGGTGGCCATGGCCTTCTAGGATCTTTCAAATAACACATGAAGTTGGAAATCAGTAGCTTGTCAAATCTTAAGAGATATTATTGACCTTACATTTATTGCTAGCCTCATGGGCAGAGGTGATGCCAAGACTTAAGTTTCCTGCCAAAAAAACAAATTTTTCCATGGTTTGTACCCATTAAAGGCCTGTTTGCAGTGCCACACCATCCCCAGGCCTCTGTCTCGGTGTCATAGGTCCTCTGCCCATCCCCATAACAGCCTGCCTGCCTGACAAAAAGTAGAGACATGAGCAGAGAGGAGGGTGGGGTGAGCCTGCAAATGCCAACCTCTCCGCAGGTGTCCTCTGGGATGGCCTCTCGTGGTGGCCTGTATCCTTGATGGGAGTGAGACAAGGAGCATTTGAATGCCCCTGTTTGGATGGGAGGGCCCCTTACTTGCTGGTACCAGGGGCACTGCTTTGAACTCTAAACACTGTCTCCTTTCATAGTCAATATGGGGAAGGGAAAAAAGGCCTTCTGCCTAATTGGGGCTATAAGATATCTTAAGATGAAGGCCATTCGGGATGGTAGAGTAATATTAGGAGAGTGATAAAGGCATTACTAAAGGGACCCAGGTGAAAAAGAGTGAGGCCGAAGCAGGGCTGACTGCCCACAGTGGACCTCGTGCTCATGAACCCATGCTTGTGAACTTAGATCAGACACTAAAGCCCCCAGGCTCCTTGCCCTGCTTCAAGGAGTAGATCTCGGCCTGGCATATCTGTGACACTGACCCAGCCTGTCTTCTTAATTTCTGTGTTTCCAGTGCCTAACACAAGACCTGCCTGGCAAGCGGGGGCTTGTGCAGATATGATTCTTGAATGAATGAATGGTTGAATGATGAATGGAGTGAGTGCACCAGCACCTGACAACAAGTGCTGTTAAGAACAACTCTACATTAGGAGCACTTAATTGCAGGCTATAGGCAGCCCAAACAACAAGGCGAAGACATAGGTATTCAAGTGGCACCTTCTTTATAAAGCCTTCCTGGCTTCACTGTCCCTTGAGGTCACCCGAAGGGGAAAAAGACAGGACCTGGGAGGAGCCTGCAGGGGGACACTCAATCTGACCTTTTTCCTAAGTTGAGTAAGGGGCCACCAGAGGTCTGGACTGCAAGGCTGATGAGAGTGGTGGGTTATGGAGACAGAGAGCCTATGGAAATTACCAGGCCCGAGAGCCAGAAGGGAGCCCAGGACCCAGACACAAGCCTATCCTCGCTACAGGGATCTGAGCAGTTCTCCTACCAGAGCCCAAAGTTGTTCTCAGCTGACAGGATGGGCCATGGACACTGTCCCCTGGTGTGGCTTCACTGGGAAGATCACAGGCTATTTTCAGTCACTTGAGTCCTCCCTGAATCCCACCACCCCACGGCATATGTACACACACACACACACACACAGAGTGAATGAATTCAAAGCCCAGGCTCCATGGTCACATTTGTACCCATCTCCTGTCCTCCTCTGGCCACAGTCTTTCTTTGCTGAGAGATTCTTTGTCCTGTTTGACTCGGATGGAAGTGGCACCATCACACTTCAGGAGCTGCAGGAGGCACTGACCCTGCTCATCCACGGCAGCCCCATGGACAAACTCAAATTCCTCTTCCAGGTGTATGACATTGACGGTAAGCATCCTTGGTGGGATGGGAGGAGGACTCGGAGGGAGGGACAAAGGGAACGGGCCATCTCAGTGACTGCCCAGCACTGGGCTAATGTCTCCAGGTGAGGCTGACAGCTTCCTCCCTCTCTCTCTGTGGGTTCCCTGCCCAGTCTCTGGTCCTCATCTCCCTTTTGTTGGGGGAGAGGGTGGGACACCGGCAGGCAGACAAATGCCCTTCATTCAACTCACGAGAAGCCAGAATTTTCCTTTGTTATTTTCCATGATTGAAAAAAGAAATTGGTTTGTTGCTTTTTAATAATAGTAATAGCCCACTATGAACATTTAAGACAGTATAGAATGGTTTAAAAAAGAAAACAAAAATCACCCATTGCATTTTTCTATACTGCCTTATAACTGATCACATATACAGATTCATCACACATTTTTAAAAAACAAAATGGGATTATAATACTATATACACTACCTTTTTTCACTCAGCAATATAAACAATTGGTCATATAAGACTGTATTGCTTTACAACATCATTTTTATTATAGTAAAATAGTCATAATATTAAATTTATCACTTTAATCATTTTTAAGTGTATAGTTCAGAAGCATTAAGTAAATTCACATTGTTGTGCAACCTTCACCACCATCCGTCTGCAGAACTTGTTCATTTTTCCAGTCCGACACTGTACCAACTAAACAATAACTCCCTACTCCCCACTTCTCCAAGAATTTGACTACTCTAGCTACCTTATATAAGTGAAATTGTATAATAGCTGTCCTTTCATAACTGGCTTATTTAACTTAGCATAAGCATGGTAGGCTGCAGTTCATGGGGTCGCTAGGAGTCGGACACGACTGAGCGGCTTACCTTTCACTTTTCACTTTCATGCGTTGGAGAAGGAAATGGCAGTCCACTCCAGTGTTCTTGCCTGGAGAATCCCAGGGACAGAGGAGCCTGGTGGGCTGCCGTCTGTGGGGTCACACAGAGTCAGACATGACTGAAGTGACTTAGCAGCAGCAGCAGCAGCAGTGTTCTCAAGGTTCATCCATGTTGTACCATGTGACAGGCTTTCATTATTTTTTAAGACTGAATGTGATCTGTTGTATGTATATACTACATTTTGTTTATCCATTCATTTGTTAATGGACACTTGGGTTGCTTCTACCTTTTGGCTATTGCAAATAATGCTGCTATAAATATGGGAGTACAAATATCTCTTCAAGACCCTGCTTTGGTTCTTTTGGGCATGTATCCAAAAGTGGAATCACTGGATCACAGGACAATTCTTTTTTTTTTTTTTTGAGGAACTGCCATACTCTTTTCCACAGTAGTTGCACCATTTTACATTCACACCAGCAATACATAAAGGTTCCAATTTCTCTAATACTTCTACTTCTTTTCTTTTCTTTTTTTTGATAACAGCTATCTAACGGGTGTGAAGGGGAAACTCAGTGGAGTTATAGCATCATTTGTAGTGACTGCATTATGTGCCACTGTGTGACTTTGACCCTATGTTCCATGAAGCACAGCCTAGTACTTAAGATCTCTGACCCTGAGACCAAGTTACCCAGGTTCAAATCTCAGTTCCACCAGTTAATCATGTGACCCTGGGCAAATTGCTTAACTTTTCCATGCTTTAATGTCCCACATATCACATGAAAATACTGATCATCATAATAGTACATACTTGTGAGGTTGGTAGGATTAAATTAGTTATGTAAACTCAAAACAATGCCTAGTTCAGGACACTCCTTTACAGGGGTCAGTTGTTGTTTATTTACTCAAACACCATTTCCAAAATGGAGAATTCCATTGTTCTCCCTCCTTATTTTGGCGTCATAAGTGACACTGCAGTAATCATCCTGGTTTTTACATCGTTGGCAACTTTGTGGCGTAAAGAGACTCTGAAAGCCCAGACTCATCAAAGGAAGGGACTCTGAGTGGGCAAAAGGCACCCAGTGAGCCCGGGGTGGTTGGTGAACCCAGACTGGGCAGGCCCCAGAGGTCATGGTTTGGAGTCTCCACACAATGAGTACGTGGAGGGTCACGGGGCTGGATTTGCATCTGGGAAAGCTCAACGCAGCTGCTGTTGTGCTCCTGGGCACGGCCCTCTGGCCTATGGGGTTCCTCTAGCTCCTGTGTGATTTTGGCTATGAAAAAAGGCCTGTTATCACTTTGGAAGGACTTTGGAAGTCCAAATCAAGGAATTATTTCTTTTAAAAGAGACTGACACACATCCATAGCCTTTTTGGATCAGATAGGGAAGGCTTTCAACCCACCCTGTGCAATAGTTGGTCTTGGGGTTGGGGGGCTCCCTCTTTCCAGGTTTTAAGAACCTGGTCCCTGGATTTATTTGTGAAGGAACTGCTCCTTCCTTTGCATTTTTAGTGGGGGTTTGCAATGCCTTTTGGGCATAATCATGGATCACCTTCTGAATGTGTCCAAAATTAATAATATATCTCAGGGCCTGGTTCACACCCTCATTCTTTAGAATTCGTCATTAGTAAGAAAAGGCCTCCACAGGTCATTTCAAATGTGCTAAATCTCAGATTACTGCTGGGGCTACATGGACCCTGAGGAATGCGATAGGAAACAAGTTGGTCCAGGGTTCACGAGTTTCTTGGCAGAGCTTTACTAAGGTTTGCTTTAAAGTATGGTTCATGATGGCTTTTGCCTTCATGGCTCTTGCCTTAGGCTCTTGCCTAAGCTGAAGGACAGGAGGTGTGACTAGAGAGCGGTGTGTTAGACTCTGAATCGTACTGTGATTACAGGCTTTGATTTTGGCCCAAGTACTGATCACAGTACCAATAAGACTTTAATTTATATGTAGCTACTTTCTTCCAAATACTACGTTGTTGTGTTGTTCAGTCACCCAGTCGTGTCTGACTCTTTGTGACCCCGTGGACTGCAACATGCCAGGCCTCCCTGTCCCTCACCATCTCCTGAAGTTTGCCTAAGTTCATGTCCATCGCCTTGGTGATACCGTCCAGCCATCTCGTGCTCTGGCCCCCTCTTCTCCTTCTGCCCTCAGTCTTTCCCAGCATCGGGGACTTTTCCAATGAGTCAGCTGTTCGCATCAGATGAACAAAATACTGGAGCTTCAGTTTCAGCGTCAGTCCTTTCTGCTTTATGATTATCTATTATCCTTGAAACAATACTGAAAGGGAGGAATAATTAGCCCCATTTTAGAGATAAGCAAAGTCACAAGACTAAAGGATTTATAGCCCACCATTACACAGTAAGGGGCAGAAACATATTGCTACCTCATGTGTGTCTATGTCCAAAACAAGTCATGAAATTTCTAATCAAGGGTCCTACTACTTATGAAGAATGAAAATACATACAGAAAAAAAAAAAGCCTCAGATCCCATCTCAGTTGATACAGTTGTTTCTCCAGTTAGTTCCAGGATCCCTGTGGATACCTAAACCCATGGACACTAACACTCAAGTCCTTTATATAAAATGTAGACATACAGTCAATCCTTGAAACCTGTGGGTTCATCCATCTACAGATTCAACCAACTGTGATCGAATTTGTAGATGAGGAACCCGTCTGTACTGAGGGTCAACTGTACTTTTGGCTTCCTTTTCACATCACTCTTAGCCACTCATGTTCTCATAAGGTCACAACGCTGGACTTGAGGGACCAGCTGTGGCCTCTCAGGACAACATGGATGGATGAGCAGAGTCTGCTACAATTTGGGGAACAAAGGGAAACCTCTTCACCACCACCTCATATACAATTTGCCTCTGAATAATTGGGGCTCTGGGCACATAGCTCCTTATAGCAAGTGTATCTTCTGGGCAGATGGTCTTGGAAGTTGAGTGGTACTTAGAGAGGAGGCTGCAGATTCTAGAGGAAGGCATGCACTGAGGCCAAAGATTCTCCATACTTGGGAAGGTGTTTGCCTCTGTTGAGCCCGGCAGTAGGGAGCCATGGAAGGTTTGTGAGCCAGAAGTGCCATATGTCCTTTGATTGCCTGGTCTTTACTCCTAAAGACATCATGTTGGCAGAAACCTGAACGAACAGGAGGTTAACCCCACGATGCAATGGTTGTGCAAGGCAGGGGGAGTTTGCAAGTACAGAGTGAGGTGGGAGGGAGGTGGGTGCAGGTCCCCACTAGGCTTCATCGTCGCCTGAAACAGGCAGCGGCTCCATCGACGCTGATGAGCTGCGCACCGTGCTGCAGTCGTGCCTGCACGAGAGCGCCATCTCGCTGCCCCAGGAGAAGCTGGACCAGCTGGCGCTGGCGCTCTTCGAGTCGGCCGACAAGGACTGCAGCGGCACCATCACCTTCGAGGAGCTCCGAGACGAGCTTCTGCGCTTCCCCGAGGTCATGGAGAACCTGACCATCAGGTACCGCCCTGGCTGGTGCAGCGACACATCCCGTGCCGGGATTAGAGCCCAGGTGCGAAGTGTCGCCTGAGCACAAGGAGGATTCCTCGGCCTGGCCCTGCCCCGACCCGGTCGGCCCCGCCCCGGTCGGCCCCGCCCAGCCCAGCCCCTCGGGTTCCCTCCCGAGGCAGCTTCGCTCCTCTGCCCACTTTCTCTTGGGGCCAAATGTCTGTCCTGCCCTCTGCAGGGCAGCTGTTGTCATGCGTGCATTTTCTATAGGATTCCTTAAGAATCAACTCAGTATTAAGCACCAGCTATGTGCTGGGCATTTTTACAAGTATATCATTGCATAACATGGAAAAGGAAATTGAAGTTACACAAAGAATGAAGTAACAAAGACATTAAAACTATTTCACCTAAAGTAACACGCCTAGGTGCACACAAATAATTAGCAAAGACAGTTATTTATTCAACTTGTTCGAGCAGCTACTCTGTACCAAGCCTTGTTCTCAATAATGGCAGAGCTCTTCTGGGTCTGCATTCCAGGCTGAGACACAGGTAATTTATACCAATAAACAAGTACATAAACTAGACAAGTACAAATTTGATAGGCGCTGTGGAGAAAATAATATAAAAAGGGTGTAACAACAGACCTAAGTTTGTCTGACTCCAAGTTCTGAATAGTGCCACTTTTGTACTTCATTCTTTTTGTGTATTAACTTCAAAAATTTCTCCGATTCTTCCATCTGTTATGATTGTCTCCCCACTCAAGGTAGTTAAAAAACTATGGGTATGGGTATGGTAACAGACAGACGGGAGATTGATCCCAGTTCTACCTAGCTGTGTGACTGTAAGCAAGTCACTTGACCTCCCTTTCCTGATGTAAAAGGAAGCCAGCCTGTTTGCCCCACGGCTCCCAAGGGTTAGCGGCTGCAGAGGGAGTGCGTCTCCAGGCTCCCACCCCGGTGGTCCCTGCCGTGCCACGCCCCTCTGAGTGGAGTCCTCTCTTACAGTGCTGCTCACTGGCTAACGCCTCCAGCTCCCCAGCGACACCAGCGCCGACCTCGCCTGCTGACCTCTGCCTACTGGCACAACCACCGCAGCCACACGCTCTGCCTGGCCGTCTTCGTGGGCCTCCACGTGCTGCTGTTTGCCCTGGCAGCTAGTGCCTACCGGGCCTTCGGAGCCAGCATCATGGTGGCCAAGGGCTGCGGCCAGTGCCTCAACTTTGACTGCAGCTTCATCGCGGTAGGGCTCTGTGGGCACAACGCAGGGAAGCGGGCAGGGGGACTGATGTAGGCTCCTCTTAGACTAAATGACCCACGCATAAACACCTGCATTGGCAGCGCAGGATGGCACCTTAGAAATCCACTGGGCCAACACTCAGTGGTGGGGACTAAGGCTCAGAGAGGGGCAGTGAGTTGTCTGTTGTCACACAGCAGGTAAATAATACAGCTGGCATTTTTGTGTGCTTGCTATGTACCAGTCACCGTGCTAACCACTTTCCATAGGGTTATTGACCCTCACAATTACCCTATGGTGGACCCAGACGAGGTTGGGCTAGCTCCTGTGAGGGCTCCAGCCAGAAAGAGAATACTTCAAGAGGCCTTGAATGCCAGAATGTGATCCTCTGGACCAGGGCCTGAGGTCTCCAAGTGTATTTGATAACACACTTCTACAACTGGAATGAAATAAAACACAACAAAATAAACAAAAAACAAAAACCCCCTCCCAATTACCCAATATACACTCACTTACTTATATGCATGCCCTGTTATTGTTAGCCAATAGGTTTAGGCACAATATAACTATAAGGCAAGATTCATCTTTAATGATCAGAGATGTACATCTCTAGTTCAAATACTCCTTTTGACACTATCAGTTTCTTACTAGAGTGGGTTTTATTTTTAACCTCATAACTGGCCTCAGAGAATTCACACCAGTAGTGGGAGACACATGACTCATTTTCGTGGTCACTTGCTCTTGCCTTATTAACACTATTTTCAATCTGCATTTTCTCTGTAGGGAATATTTTTAAGCTACTTGTCCTTTCTGAGGGGTAGTTAAGCTTACTTAAGTTAAAAGCAGTTAATGCAATCCACAAATTCATACAGTAGGACAGGCATAAATTAAAGCAAATGAGTAAGGGAGAGGGCCCTCACCATAAGCCCCTTAAAAAGTGCCGTCTCCCCTCAGGACATCCCAAGAACTACATGGGACATGGTGCCTGTCTGACCTATGACTAAATGAGGGCTCCATGTCTACACAGAGCCTAAATATTAGTAAAAGCTTATGTGCTTCCCACGTGTTGAGATAAAAGGAATACAAACATTCTGTAAGATTTTCTCTTCCCTGCCCAGTTCTGGAGGTCCTACTTTGGGACCCCAGCTATGGATCTAGGGCAGCAATGGAATGCTTGAGGGCAGGGGAGGTGGTCATGTCCCCTAGCCCTGCCCATCCTCCAGCCCCGCCCACCACAACCCTGCCCATCCTCCGGCCCCGCCCACCACGGCCCCGCCCATCCTCCAGCCCCACCCACCACGGCCCCGCCCACACAGCCCGCCCATCCTCCAGCCCCGCCCATCGGTAAGCACAGCCATCTCAGGGGGAGGCGGGGAGACACCTGCGGTGAAGGGGTGGCCAGGTTAGAGAGCAAGCCAGATGGGCTCTCTACCGCTTTGCTTGGCCAGGTGCTGATGCTCAGGCGCTGCCTCACGTGGCTGCGGGCCACGTGGCTGGCTCAGGTCCTGCCGCTGGACCACAACATCCAGTTCCACCAGCTTATGGGCTACGTGGTGGTCGGGCTCTCCCTAGTGCACACCGTGGCCCATGTGGTGAACTTCGGTGAGTAGCCTGGGGCTGGGGTGGGGTGGGGATCTGGGCTTTCCACAAACCACTAATTTATCCCGCTCCTGTGTCCCGGTGGGCGGAGAAGGGTGTCCTGGATAAGCTGGATGGGGAGAAGTGGGAACCCCAACAGGAAGGTGCAGTGGGCCGATCTTGTCTTGTGCTCGTCTCCAGCGCTCCAGGCTCAGTCTGAGGCCAGCCCCTTCCGGTTTTGGGAACTCCTGCTCACCATGAGACCTGGCATCGGCTGGGTTCACGGCCTGGCTTCCCCGACCGGCGTGGCTCTGCTCCTGCTGCTTCTCCTCATGTTCGCCTGCTCCAGCTCCTGTGTCCGCAGGAGAGGCCACTTTGAGGTGCCCCAGACTTTCCCCTTTGCCTGGCCTATCTTGGGCTCCCACCTTCATTTCTTCCTTTTTTTAAAAAAATTAATTTTTGTTGGAGTATCAGTTCAGTCGCTCAGTCATATCCTACTCTTTGCGACCCCATGAATCGCAGCACACCAGGCTTCCCTGTCCATCACCAACTCCCGGAGTTTAATAAACTCATGCCCATCGAGTCAGTGATGCCATCCAGCCATCTCATCCTCTGTCGTCCCCTTCTCCTCCTGCCCCCAATCCCTCCCAGCATCAGGGTCTTTTCCAAGGAGTCAACTCTCTGCATGAGGTGGCCAAAGTATTGGAGTTTCAGCTTCAGCATCAGTCCTTCCAATGAACACCCAGGACTCATCTCCTTTAGGATGGACTGGTTGGATCTCCTTGCAGTCCAAGGGACTCTCAAGAGTCTTCTCCAACACCACAGTTCAAAAGCATCAATTTCTCAGCGCTCAGCTTTCTTCACAGTCCAACTCTCACATCCATACATGACCACTGGAAAAACCACAGCCTTGACTAGACAGACCTTCTGTTGTCAAAGTAATGTCTCTGCTTTTTAATATGCTATCTAGGTTGGTCATAACTTTCCTTCCAAGGAGTAAGCGTCTTTTAATTTCATGGTTGCAGTCACCATCTGCAGTGATTTTGGAGCCCAAAAAAATAAAGTCTGACACTATTTCCACTGTCTCCCCATCTATTTCCCATGAGTTAATGGGACCAGATACCATGATCTTAGTTTTCTGAATTTTAAGCTTCAAGCCAACATTTTCACTCTCCTCTTTCACTTTCAAGAGGCTTTTTAGTTCCTCTTCACTTTCTGCCATAAGGGTGGTGTCATCTGCATATCTGAGGTTATTGATATTTCTCCCGGCAATCTTGATTCCAGCTTGTGCTTCATCTAGCCCAGCGTTTCTCATGATGTACTCTGCATAGAAGTTAAATAAGCAGGGTGACAATATACAGCCTTGACGGACTCCTTTTCCTATTTGGAACCAGTCTGTTGTTCCAAGTCCAGTTCTAACTGTTGCTTCTTGACCTGCATATAGGTTTCTCAAGAGGCAGGTCAGGTGATCTGTTATTCTGACCTCTTTCAGAATTTTCCACAGTTTATTGTGACCCACACAGTCAAAGGCTTTCGCATAGTCAATAAAGCAGAAATAGATGTTTTTTCTGGAACTCTCTTGCTTTTTCAATGATCCAGCAAATGTTGGCAATTTGATCTCTGGTTCCTCTGCCTTTTCTAAAACCATCTTGAACATCTGGAAGTTCTCGATTCACGTATTGCTGAAGCCTGGCTTGAAGAATTTTGAGCATTACTTTACTAGCGTGTGAGATGAGTGCAATTGTGCGGTAGTTTGAGCATTCTTTGGGATTGCCTTTCTTTGGGATTGGAATGAAAACTGACCTTTTCCAGTCCTGTGGACACTACTGAGTTTTCCAAATTTGCGTGCAGTTTTCCAAATTATTGGAATAATAAGTTTTCCAAATTATTGGAGTATAATTGGTTTCTATTGTTCAGCAAAGTGAGTCACCCACCTTCATTTCATGCTGTGCCCCCTCCAGCTTACTCCAGAGCCCAGGAAGTTCCAGGTGGTTTACATACTATGGACATGTGACTTGGGTTCTGCCACTGAACTGTGATTTGTGTCTGGCGAGTGAAAATGTTCTGCTCTAGAAGATTCTACCTTTTTTGCTGGCTTATCCTCTTGCTCTAATTGGATTTAACTAGGCTCAAGATGGCACAAAGAGGGCAAGAAACAAGCTCTTCAGAGTTCTAATCCCCACCCCACTCCTTATTGATCATTCCACTGCTGTCATTTATAAAGCGGAGCTATGATTCTCAACCTTTGGAGTTATTTTAAAAATCAAATGAGATAATACAGGTGAAGTCAATAACTATACACACCTAGCACGTGGGCGCTCTACAGGTGTTAGGTCTAGCTTTGCTTCCTTCTCTCTAGCCTCCTGGAGATATAAAAGGTCCTGGAGGATCTAGTTTGGAGATTGTGTCCCCTGGACTGATTTGGTCATAGCAGAAAAATATATGTATATATACAATCACCTATTCTGAGCCAACAATGATCCTTTGAAGTCATAATCAGCATCCTCACTTGACCCACGAGGAATCTGACTCATAGAAGTAACTTATCAGACCGAGGCCACAGAGCTAGTAGCCGAGCAGGTGTTAAAACTCGGGGCTTTGCTCTTGCTTCTCTACTGCCAGAACATCATTGCTCTCTTTCCTTCCTTCCCCCCGAGAAAGGGTCAGTGGGTCGGAACACTGGTGCTGATGAGCCCATCAGAGGGGGCAGTCCACCCTGCCCAGAACACGCCCAGGCAGATGTTCCAGGTGTTGGTCACTGGCGCCAAGAATCTTTACTTACAGACTCTCTGAGCCAGGCCCTCAGACCAAAGAGGCAACAGAGCTTCCCACCCCCAATCTCCTACCCAAGCCTGTTCCCAGGAGGGCACAGCCTGTCCCCAAAGCTCTGGGCACAGTCCTGGCTTTGAGGATGACCGTGAACCTTGGCTCTGTCCCACCCCTCTGCCTTGACATTTTATCCCCCATCTCCCACAGGTGTTCTACTGGACCCATCTGTCCTACCTCCCCATGTGGCTCCTGCTCACCCTGCACGGGCCCAACTTCTGGAAGTGGCTGCTGGTCCCTGGCACATTGTTCTTCCTGGAGAAAACCATCAGCCTGGCAGCGTCCCGCATGGCGGCCCTGAACATCGTGGAAGTCAACCTCCTCCCTTCCAAGGTACAAAGGGGGCCCGAGGAGCCAAGAGGTGTCCCAGGTGGTGGGGTGCAGCACCTGGGTACTCTGTTAGACCTCCACCCCCAGGAAATAGGGAGCACAATGCAGGAGGCAAGCAAGTGCAAGACTTGGTCCAGCCCTGCAAGAGTGACGCTTCTGGGAGGGGAATGGCGGGTGGGCAGGGTACTACTAAAGGCCAGGTGTGCATAGAACACCTTCAGGAAGTATGTGTTACACGTCTGCAAGGTGGCAGGCCCTGCGCTTGGTGACAGAGATGCAGAGAAAGTGGAGGCACTCTTCGACTCTCCATAGACACACAGGATAATAGGAGAGTCAGCCCTTTCATCAGCGCAGGGCTGTGTTGGCAAGAGAAGAGGAATCTCAGGAGGCGTTAAACTCTGTCTTTGAGAGATCAGAGAAGCTTCAGAATGAGAGGGGAGCTGCCTTATCAGGGTTTTGAGAGATGAATAGAAGTTTGTTGGATAGACAAGACAAGGAAGGGTATTGCTGGGAGAAGGAACAGCATGGGCAAAGGCAGAGAGTAGTGAAAGGGAACACTGTACTGAAGGGACTACAAGTAATTTGGAGCCGAGGTGTCAGGGAGAAGCTGGAGGGGTGGGCAGGGCCTAATGGTGAGTGGCCTCACTTTGCAGACCACGGGAACCCCTGAGCAGGGTGGGGAGAGGATGGTGGTATTGAGCTTGTTTATACTCCAGCTGGACTTCTTTAGTTGCTCTGTGGAAGATGGCTTAGAGAGGACCACTGGGGCGGCTGTTGCACATATGCAGAGGAGAGCTCATGAGAGCCTTGACCCTGACCAGGGTGGGGAGGGGGCGTATCATAGAAAGACTCGAGAGGCAGCTGGCTGCATTTGGGGTGGGGGTTGGTGGGTGGGGGGAGGAGTCTAGGCTGTCTTGCAGGTATCTGAGTAATTGGGGCCATTTTTGGAGAAAGGGCCGGCAGTTTTTGGGGGGCTCGACTCTGGACAACTTGGAAGTGAGGACACGGAAGCTGGATAAGAGACTGAGGTTTGTGTCTAGGCCCTGGCATCAGACAGAGTGGTTAGATTCAGATCCCATGGTTTCTTAGCTGGTGCTCTTGAGCAAGTCATTTAGCTTCTCTAACTCAGCCTCTCCTCCGTAAAGTGGAGAAAAATTGACATTTGTCTCCGGGAGTTGTTGTAAGGACTAGAGGTAGCTCTTAAAGAGCTCCACACAGCTCTGGCACTTGTAAGTGCTCAATAAACCAAAGTTACTCTCCAGGAGGCTGTTGTATCCTGGGAGAAATGCCTGTTCCTGGTTGGAATGCCAGCCAAATGCCACAGCAGTTCCATAAAAGGGGCTGGAGCAGTCAGGGGGCTTCACAGAGGCGGAGGGCCACTAGGAAGCAGTATTTACACCAGAGGAAGTGGGATCGCACCATGAGCCCCGCTTCAGACACAGCCTGCCTCCCCTTCTCTGATTGCCACCTACCACCCATTGGCAGATGTGCTGTAGGGTGAGCCCCCAACTCAGAGACACAAAAGGTCTCATGTCATGCTGGCCTGGGTGATGGTGGAAGAAGATGGCCCAACCTGTGGTCCTGGGGCCCCTGGCAGCTCTGGGTCTGCACGGATGACCCTGATCTGTTTCTCTCCCCAGGTCACGCATCTCCTCATCAAGAGGCCGCCTCTTTTTCACTACAGACCTGGTGACTACTTGTATCTGAACATCCCCAGCATCGCACGCTACGAGTGGCACCCCTTCACCATCAGCAGTGCTCCTGAGCAGAAAGGTAGGCCTGTACCAACTCCACCAGTCTCTCAGGGGGTGTTACCGAGTCCCTGCCACATGCTGAGCAAGGCTGTGAACCAGGAACACAGGGGCAAACAAGACCCGGGACACAAACCCGGCCTCCCTGGTCTCCCTCTGGAACACGGGGGCAGATGAGCAGATGCTGACTAAACGGGGTGATCGGGGCTCTACCAGCTTCTGTGAGGGTCACCGGGGAGGGCCTGACCTGGTGGGGGAAGTGGGCAGGGTGGCCTTTCAGCTGAACCTTGAAGGGTTTATAGGAGTTTACTAGGTAGGAGAAGGGCATGGGGGTGGAGGCAGAAGGGGAAGCATGAAACCTGCAAACCTACGTAGAGGTGTCTGATGTAGTTTGGGGGTCAGGTGGAGTAGGGAGGAAGGAAGCAGAGGTGAGTGGAAGGAAAAGAAGGTCAGGGAAAGGACCGAAGTGGCTGGCAAAATTGGTAAGAGCTAGTGTGGGGTCAGGAAGGTCTTCAAATGCAGGGTGAAAAGTGGAATGGCACAGGCAGTTGGGAGCCTGCAAGGGTCTTAAGCAAAGGAGTAGTGGCTCAGATGAAGGGGCACCAGGACATTTCCAGAGGGCTGTGACAGACAGGAAGCCAGGCTTCCCCACTCCATGTGGGCATGAGACCTGGGGAGCCCCAAGGCAAGAGAATCCCTTCCCATCCTTCTCCCCCATCCCTGACCACTTCCATCCTCTGGGTGCCCAGCACCCATAGAACTACTCAGCCGACCTTCTCTTCGCCCAGCTGTCCTCCAACCCCCACCCATGCATGTGCCTGCGTGCCTGCCTTCTGGTCCTGGGCTGTTGGTGGGGCCACAACCTGGACCTCTGACCTCTAGGCCAGGCTAGGGATTAGCCTTCCCATCTCAAGTGCTGCTTTTTTTTTTTTTTTAATATTTATTTTTACTTATCTGTCTGGTTGTACTGGAGCATAGTTGTGGGATGGGAGCTCTTAGTTGTGGCACATTGGGTCTAGCTCCCTGACCTGGGACTGAACCCAGGCCCCTGCACTGGGAGCACGGAGTGCACTGGACCACCAGGGGAGCCCCTCAAGAAGTGCCTCAGACAGAGGAGGCCTTGTATGGCCTGTTGCAGCGAGACCCTTGCTTGGCTTCATGAGAGGTAAAGGTTTCTGGTTGCCGGGATTCTCTGACCCTCCTCCATGGAAAGCTGTAGTGCCATTCACGATGCCTCCCACCCCAGCCCAGGCCCCACCCCGGGCCCAGCTCCCACAGCTCAGGGCACAGACCCAAGGCCAGAGTTCCCCACGAGAAGCTGTATAACACCTGCCCTGGAATCACATGAGTGGAGACCTGGATGTACAGTGGGGTCAGGGTGAGGGTTAGAGAGGATGGATTATTTTCTTCCTATTTTTATTTCCCTTTTTCTTTCTTTTTTTTTTTTTTTTTTTGCTGTTTTATAAAGAACAGATATGCTCCTGGAAAATTCAGACAGTATAGAAATATGTGCCAAACTGTTTATAATAGCCAGGACATGGAAGCAACCTAGATGCCCATCAGCAGATGAATGGATGAGGAAGCTGTGGTACATATACACCATGGAATATTACTCAGCCATTAAAAAGAATTCATTTGAATCAGTTCTAATGAGATGGATGAAACTGGAGCCCATTATAGAGAGCGAAGTAAGCCAGAAAGATAAAGACCATTACAGTATACTAACACATATATATGGAATTTAGAAAGATGGTAACGATAACCCTATGTGCAAAACAGAAAAAGAGACTCCTATGTATAGAACAGACTTGTGGACTCTGGGAGAAGGCGAGGGTGGGATGTTTCAAGAGAACAGCATTGAAACACGTATATTATCTAGGGTGAAACAGTTCACCAGCCCAGGTTGGGTGCATGAGACAAGTGCTCGGGCCTGGTGCACTGGGAAGACCCAGAGGGATTGGGTGGAGAGGGAGGTGGGAGGGGGGACCGGGATGGGGAATACATGTAAAAAAAAAAAAAAAGATACACTATGGTGTGATAAAAAAAAATAAATAAATAAATTTAAAAAAAAAGAACTGAAAAAAAAAAAGAAAGAAAAAGAAACCTGTATAAAAAAAAAAAAAAAGAAATATGTGCCAAAGAAAATTAAAATCCCTCAAATAATTCTACCCAAGGAAAACTATTGTCAATCATTTGGTGAATAGCTTTCCAGATCTTGATGTATCACCATGAATAATCAGATATAGAGATAATTCTGCATATAAGGGATTATGGTTTTGCATATAAGGGATTACACTGTTTTGCCATCCACTTTTTCTCCATGAATAATATGTCATGAAGGTCTTTGCATGTCAGTTCTTTTAAAAGAACTTTTCCTTTTCATGGCTGCATGCTATTCCAGTGTATTAATAGTAATAGGATTATAATATAAATGTGTAATTTATTTTACCAGTTTTTTAAAGTGTTTATTTATTTATTTGGCTGCACTGGGTTTTAGATGTGGCATGTGGGATCTAGGTCCCTGACCAGGGGTCAAATCTGGGGCCCCTGCATTGGGAGTCTTAGCCACTGGACCACTGGGGAAGTCCCTATTTGACCAATTCTTGAAGGGTTTCTTCAAGGTTTCTGCTTGGACTCTCTTAGTCCTGAGCCCCCTGCAGTAAGTGAGTCCACGTGGAGGCTGGTAAATCCTCTGATTTTGTAGAGCTGGTTTCCAGGATCAGGAGTGGAAGTTAGGCTGGCAACTCTGGCTGACTGAATTTGACTGGCATTTAAGAGGCCTGCTCCATCTGAGCCACTGTGTGAGGCAGTTCAGGGTACATCTGTGCAGACGGGGCCCAGTGCAGCCCTCCTGCTGCTTTGCACCTTGAAGGGGAGGGAGTGCCAGGGAGGCTCCTGGGAGCAGAGGTCCCAGGACCTGACTTTTTCAGTCCGCTCTGCACGAAGCTGTGAGAGCGTGAAAGTGAAAGTTGCTCAGTCATGTCTGACTCTGAGACCCCATGGACTATATGGACTATATGGTTGTTGTCCATGCTTTGACATGTCATTCATGCTCATCACTAATTCACATCTCCAGTGACCACGCAACTCCTGCTGCATCTCGTTATTTCATGTATTAACAAAAAAGCACATGTATTTTTAAATCAAAAAATTTTAAAATTTATTTTGGCAACAGTCTCATTATAATTGGTTTCATTCATAATTTCTACATATATTATTCAAAGTATTTAAAAACCTTATTTTGAGAAGGAGTTTATCCTTGCCTTCACAGGACTGCCAAAAGAGTTCATGATTTAAAATAAAAGAAAAAGGATGAGAACTCCAGACCAGGAAGTCTCTTAGCGGCCTCCTTGCTCTAATGTATGTTCTTTCTGGTACCCCTCAACACCCTTCTACCAGTCATCCACTTAATAGGGAACCTTAGCAAACACCCTCTGCATCCCAGACACAGAGAGCAATGAAAGCTACTGGTCCCACTATTGACTGAGCACCTTCTGTGTGCAGAACCGTTGACAGGCATCTCATAGAATGTGGGAGAGAGATGGTCCCCAACTTTGCTGAGACCCTGGCTTGATGGAGGAGGCCAGGCCCTCACCTCTAGGGAGCCCCCAGTGTGCTCAGGACTGCTCTGACCCCTGCCTTGGCAGAGGAGACTGAACACGTAGGTTGACTTCACTGAGAAAAATTGCAAGGTCTGCACCAGAGAGGCCAGCTCTCCCAGGCTCATTGCTGTGGCTGCTAGTTCGGACCTGAGGAAGGGCGTTCAGAGGAGAGCCTGAGGGGTGGATGCCCAGTCCCAGTCACTCCAGTGAGACAGGTGTCCCTGTGGAGACCGGCACTGACCCCTCACCGCCTGCCCTGTCTTTTGCTCAGACACCATCTGTCTACACATCCGGTCCCAGGGCCAGTGGACCAACAGGTTGTTTGAGTCCTTCAAGAAATCAGACCCACAGTTCTGTGGTTCCAAGAGGCTCTCGAGGAAGTTGGAGATGAAGAGGAGTCAGAGGAAGTCCCAGGTAAGTGACTGAAGGGGATAAAGGGTCCACCGTGGTGACAAACCCATGGGGACCAAGTTGCCTTCTTAGCTGGCAACCACTGAGCAGTTGTGAACACTGGCTGGGACAGCACAGAGGGTAGGCCAATTGAGAATGTGTGGTCCAAGAGCCTCCTGGAATCCAGACCACACCTGATCCTTCCTGGTCCAGTGTGCTCCATTAGAAGGCAGGGGACAAGGCAAAGAGGGGGAAATTGAGAGGAGAAAAATCCGTTTCTACCTCTCTGCTCTAGTATTTTCTAACTGTATGGACTTGGGCACATCTTTTAGCCTTACTGAGCCTCAAGTTGTTCACCTATGAAATAGAGGTGGTTCCTGTCCTTGGCTTTCCTTTCTAACATGATTGTTTTAAGGACCCATGGAATGTATGCATGTAAAGTATTGCGTGAACTGGGCAGCATGGTCCAGGTGGACCATTCATTATCCTTATCAGCATGACCACCACCACCGTTATCATCACCACCACCATGAGTTTAACAATCTTTTGAACCCTGATGAAACCCATACAGTTGACAAACTGCCAATGAATACAGGCTCTGGTAGGCTTGGGAGGAATGCAGAGAGGTCAGAGCAGCACTTGAAGAAGCAGGAATCGATGTAGAAGGCTGAGGGTGCCTGAACACCAGAAGGCTGTGCCACCAGGCCTGGAATCAGGTTAATAAGTGGAAACCCTGCTGAAGGTCAAAGGAAGAGATTCCCCCAGGCTGACCCAGCCCTTCCTTGCCCTCGTGGAATATAAAGTTCAGAGAAGGAACCAGGTGAAATCCTTCCTGGCCAGACCAGAGGGCCCTTCTAGAAAGTGCCAAGAGCAGAACTTTGGGGAATGGAGAGATAGGTAGAAACAGGCAGGGTGTTCTTTCCTGTTAATCAGGGGAGATCTCCTGAAGGAGGAAGCTGATCTTCAAAATCAGGTGAGTGCTGGCACACTGAGGATTGGTGGGTAGATATACTAAAAGCTGTCTTTCCTTGGGGTCTCAGGCACCACTGCCAAAGAGTAAACTGGCACAGGCTTTCTGGTGGACAGTCTGGCTATATGTGTCTGCATTTTAAATATCTATACACAGTAGCTTACAAGTGAAAGTGTTAGTTGCTCAGTCAGGTCTGACTCTTTGTGACCCTGTGTACTGTAGCCCACCAGGCTCCTCTGTCCTTGGAATTCTCCAGGCAAGAATACTAGAGTGGGTAGGCATTCACTTCTCCAGGGGATCTTCCCCACCCGGGGATGGAACCTGTGTCTTCTGCATTGCAGGCAGATTCTTTACCATCTGAGCCACCAGGGAAGCCTTCCTAACCAATGGCTTAGCAATGCCATTTTTAGGAGTTTAATCCTAAAAAGCTATTTGGACATGTATGCAAGCTCATTAACCACTTCGTTCATTCATTCACTTAGCAAATATTTAGGGCTTCCCTGGTAGCTCAACTGGTAAAGAATCCACCTACAATGCAGGAGTCTTCAATTCGATCCCTGGATTGGGAGGTTCTCCTGGAGAAGGGAAAGGCTACCCACTCCAGTATTCTGGCCTGGAGGATTCCATGGACTCCATGGGGCTGCAAAGAGTCAGACATGACTGAGCAACTTTCACTTCACTTATTGAGCACAGGATCTACTGTTTTCCAAGTACTATTCTAAATGTTGGAGATTGGTCAATAAGCAAAATACCCATCGTCACTGCTTCCAGTCCAGAGAGGGTGGTGGACAGTAAATACACAATAGAGACATAATGTGTCACATGGTAATAAAGACCATGAAGAAAATACGTCGGAGTAAAGGGGAAGAGCTGTTTTATACACCGTGGTTGTTAACAATAATGAGAAAATGAGTATAATCAAAATGCCCAACAATAGGGAAGCAGTTTAAAAAATTACCAATCACCCTTCTAATGGAAGAGTAAGTTGCCTAAAAAAGATTATGTAAATGTATATGCATTAGCATGTAAAGCTAGCCAAGATGTAGTAAGTGGAAAAGCCAAGTTACAAAGTAGTATGTTCCATTTATGTGCAAGTGCGTGTGTGTAAGTCTGGAAGGACAGAAAATGGTTAGAGAAGTTGTGTTTCCTGATTCAGGGTGCTTTTTTACTCTATCCTTTAAAATTCTGTAGTTTATGAGTTTTTGTTTTAAATTGTATTGATTTATGATTTAAATAATAAAGCAATATTTGTTTTGAAACCAAGCAGGGCGTGCAGCCGCAGCCCATCCATTTCCGAGCCTCAGCACAGGGTGCAGTAGCCTCTAGCACAGAGGTGGTTGTGGAGCTGACATCCTACAGGCAGGAGGGAACTCCGTGGCAGGAGCGCGAAGGCATGGTGAACACAGGGACAAAGGACAGGACTCGGGCACAGAGGGAAGCTGCAGCCGAGGACCGGGCCCTGGTAAGGCTGAAGAAGCTGGGGCTGGGGGTTGGAGAGCCAAAGATTCTTCTCCCAGGAATGGTGGGTGGGTCCTTGGAACTTGGAAGAGAGGGCCCCAGTCAGGAAGGACCCCACACCACATGGTGTTTCTGCAGCCTCTCACCTGTATGGCAGGCACCTTTGTAACTTTTATCATATTTACTTCCCATAGGTAGTATCTCCCACTGAATATTTCTCCTTACATCCCAACAGTACTTTAAACTTAATTGTATTTTAAAAGGACTCTTTAGATTAGTGTGTTTAATAGAAAATCAGTATCATGTGCCATAAAAAAGATAAGTCTAAAAGCAAAAACAATGTTATTAAATTCTTGCCAGATGGTTCTGCCTGTTAAATGAGGCTCTGAGCCTGAAGCTGCTGTCTTCGGCTTGTTCCCTCTCTGTCTCTGTCACGCTCTCTCTTTCTTTCTTTCTCACATCGTTGAAAGGAAAAAAAAAAAAAGAAGAGGGAATAGTGTTAGAAGTTAAGGGGATATAATAACCACGGTGTAAGGCTTTCTCCTTGCAATAAGAAGGATTTTTTTTAAACTGTTAGAGGAGCAGCCCTCTCACAGCGCACCTCCTAAACTAACCATCACAAGTAGTTCAAGGCCAGCCCCGTGGAGGACCCAAAATTCAGCTGCCCCTGGACAAAGGAGCAACGTGGTGTGATGTGGTGAGCGCAGGACAGGGAGACAGAGACCCAGGCTCTCCCCCAGCTCTGCAGGAACTTGAGTGAATCATTGTCTCACTCCCAGATTCATCTTCTCTTCTGTGAAAGGAGGGATTTGCCTGGATGATTGTGAAGGTCACTCCTAACCAGAGAGAAGCTATCACAGGCCTCTGAAGCCCTTTTGTGGGTCTGTTTCCTTCATCTTCAGGCAGGAAGCACATGAACCTCAAGGAATCTGGTCTGGCTGTGCTTAGCGCTGGAGGAGTCAGGCAGAGCAGACAGAGGAGGCCTGCTCCCTGCCCTCAGGGGGCTCCCCATCAGCGAGCCCAGGGCAGGGTCCCCAGGGCAGGGGTGAGCTGTGAGCCAGGCCAGCACCTGGTCTTTCTGCTCGGGGACGCTGGGCAAAGACTCTAGGAAGGTGGCCACTCCAAGCAAGGTGCACACTGAGGGAAGCGCAGGAATTTGCCAGCTGGGGAAAAGGGAAGTGTGGTGTGCTCTAGGCACAGGGAAAGCATGTTCAAGGCCAAGGTGTGTCTGGAAACATGAAAGCAATCGGATGTAGCTGAGCCCACGAGGCAGGCGGGCTGAGTGTTCTCCTGTCACACCTGACACTGACTTGTATTGGACCACAAGAGCGATTGTTAAATTTTCAGGAATTTTGAGAGCCTGTTTTTTTTTTTTATTGTTGTTGTTATTTATTTTTTATTGTTGGCTGTGCTGAGTCTTCATTGCTTTGCTTGGGCTTTCTCTAATTGCGGTGCTGGGACTTCTCATTGCAGTGGCTTCTCTTGTTGTGGAGCACGGGCTCTAGGCTTACGGGCTTAGTAGTTCCAGCATGCCACCTCAGTAATTGGGGCTCAAGGGCTCTAGAGCATGAGGTGGGAGGGGGAAGCCAGTTATTAAAACCAGTCATTGGTGGGAGCCGTGATGACAGTGTTTACATCAGAAATCTCGACACTAACAATCAGGAATTTGTTTTTGGTGGTCCTTTCTTCTGAGGAGGAGTCAGTTTACCAGCACATCACTGATGTTTTCCCTCAAAAGTGCCCCATGCTCCTTGGAATGGTTTGGATAGAAAAGGCAATCCCCTTTTTGTAAGGTTGCTCAGACTGCAAGGGCGAGTAAACCTCTGAGAAATGCCTGGCCCACCCACTCCCAGAGACCCACTTTCTCTGCTCTATGCTCTGCAGGTCTCTGAGATGTGCTCTGAGAACCACCAGTTCTGTAACATCAAGGTGAGTGGTTCCGGGGGTGGCCGTGACCAAAACCACTGCCCCAAGCGGAGGACAAAGCCTCTGCCCACGGGGAGGGCTTGCTGGGGCGCTCAGTTCCCGTGCTCTTCATCCCCACAGCCTGACTCCCAGGTCTCCAGATAATGGGAATCAGACCCCCGCCCACCCTCACAGGGCACACGGCTGTGCTGGTTGGACCCTGCTCTCACCAGATCTGCACTTGGGAGTTCTAGGGTGCTCCCAGACTCGAGCTCAGAGCGCAGTGTGTGAACAGTGCTCTGAGCAGGAGCCACTGACTCCCGGGTTCCAGCCCAGGAGACAACTGCCTGCATATACAGGGGTTCTGAGGTGTTGGAGTCCACTTCTCAACCGCCCACCCATCCCTCTCCCTCCTCCAACCCCTCCCGTGTGCAGTGCTACATCGATGGCCCTTATGGGACCCCCACTCGCAGGATCTTTGCCTCCGAGCATGCTGTGCTCATTGGTGCAGGCATTGGCATCACGCCCTTTGCCTCCATCCTGCAGAGCATCTTATACAGGTGGGTGGGCAGGCTGTGGTCCTGCCTGTATCCTGGGGCAGAATCCGAGAGATGCCCCCCCCCACTCCCTTGTCACCTGTCTCCGTCTCCCCTGTTACCTCTTTCCTCTTCTGTTTCTCCTCCTGCTCTTTTTTGGGGTCTCATCCCTCCCCCTGCCACCCCACCCTCCCTCCCTGTCCCCTGCACTGCTCTCTGGGGTCCTGAGAAATCTCATACTCACCCCAAACTCAAAACCCCCTCCTGTCCCCTCCCCTCAGACACCAGAAGAGAAAGCACATTTGCCCCAGTTGCCAGCACTCCTGGATGGACAGTGGTCAGGATGAGGACATGAAACTCCACAAGGTGAGTGAGCACTGCCTCCTACAGGCAGGACTCCAGAGCTTCTCCCCAGACACCAGAGCCAGTTCCTCCCCGCCCAGCTCAAGAGACATTCTGAGCCCTGAAGGCAGGCCTCTCATTAAAGAACACAGCCTGAAAGTCAGGCAGCTGGGATGCAATCACAGCCATGATGCTTGCTAGCCGTGGCCTGATGGTGGTTTTAAAAATGAAAATGCTTGCCATTTGAAAATTCATTATTCTGTGTAAGCCATTAAAAGAGTTTCTTAAAAAAATATGTTCTTCTGGCTTAATAAGCTTAAGAGCTCAGAACACTGCTTGCTGTGAGCAATAGATTATTAGGGAAAACTCTGACCTGGCAGTCTAGAACCCATGCTGGTCCCATGCTGCTCTGTAGCCTCATTCTTACCTCTGTGAGCCTCAGTTTGCACCCCCATCCCACTCCCTTCCCACCACCCCAGTTAAATGGGAATGGTAGTGTGTGCTGTGCTAAAAGCAGGGTGGTCACATGCGGGAGCCTAGGGAGCACAGATAAGAGTGAATGAGGTAAACCCCCCCACCCCCCACCCTGATCTGGGCCCTTCTCCCTAGGTGGACTTCATCTGGATTAACCGAGACCAGCAGTCTTTCGAGTGGTTTGTGAGCCTGCTGACCAAACTGGAGATGGACCAGGCCGAGGAGACACAGGAGGGTAGGAGAGGGATGGGGCTGGAGGATGATGGGGTGGGGGTTGGGGGGCGGTGGAGTTCAGGGTCTCTGTAAGAAAGTGTTTATTCTCTTCCTATCAGAAATGTAGGGGAGAGGGAGCTGTTTTTTCCCCCCGATAAAACATAATAATTTGTGAAACTTAAGAGAGGAGGGGAAATCCCATTCATAATCCCATCTAGCTAGTCAGGCATTTTGAAGGATTTCCCTATGATACTTTTTTCTTATTCATGTTTTATAAAAGTGTGTATATAGCCTGTTTCCCTGGTAGCTCAACTGATAAAGAATCTGCCTGCAGTGCAGGAGACCTGGGTTCATTCCATGGGTTGGGAAGATCCCCTGGAGAAGGGAACAACTACCCACTCCAGTATTCTGGCTTGGAGAATTCCAAGCCATGAGGTCCCCATTCCAGTCCATGGGGTCACAAAGACTCAGACACAACTGAGCGACTTTCACTTTCACTTTCCACCCATTTCTCTTTTTTACATGACATTTCTTTTTGTTCAAAATGAGCACTTATTAAAAAGTTAGATTCCCAGCCCTCATTCCAGATCGTTCAAATCAGATTCTCTGGAAGTAGGACTAGAGAAGTTACATTTTAACAAGCTTCTCAGATAATTCATATTCATGCTTCTTTAAGAAATTTTTTGAGGGATAAGTTATATACAGTAAGATTCATCAATTTAAGTGTCCAAAGAATATAATGGCACTTTGACAAATGTGTCCAGTCATATGACCTTAAAAGCAGGGTGGTCTCATGAGGGAGCCCAGGGAGCACAATCAAAACATGGACCATTTCTTTTACCCCCAAAGCTCCCTCATCTCACTTTGCATCAACACCCTCTCTCCACTTACAGCCCTTGGCAACCAGTGATCTGCTTTCAGTCATGATAGTTTTGCCTTTTCTAGAATTTCATAACAGTGGAATCATATAATATCCATGTAGTCTTTTTAAACTTCTTTCACTTAACATAAAACCTTTGAGATTTACCCATGCTGTTGCATCTTTCAGTAAGTAAATTCCTTTTTGTTGTTAGGAAGCGTTCCATTTTATGGACATACCACAATCTGTTTTTCCATTCAGTTGTTGGTGGATATTAGAGTTATTTCCACTTTTTAGCCACTTTTGCCTATGAAAGTCTTTGTGTGGACATATGATTTCCATTTCTCTTGGGTTGATACTTAGAATTGGAATTGCTGGGTAGTATGGAATGTGCTCAGTTTTACTTTATAAGAAACTATCAAATTGTTTTTCCCAAGTGACTGTACCATTTTGTATTTCCATCAGTAATGGAGTTCCAGTTGCTCTACAAACCTCATCAACTACAGCCTCATTTGATATTGGCAGTCTTTTTAATTTTAACTCATCTAATGGGTGTATAGGGGTATCTCAATATGCTCTTTTTTGTCTGTTTTGGTTTTAATTTTTTAAAATTGGAGGGTAATTGGTTTCCAATGTTGTGTTGGTTTCTGCTGTACAACAATGTGAATGAGCCATAAATATACATCCATCCCCTCCTTCCTGGGCCTCCCTTACCTGCCCATCCCACCCCTCTAGGTTCAAAATACTCTTTTTCAAAAAAATTTTTTATTTATTTTTTATTTTAGGTTCAATATACTCTTAATTTGCATTTCCTTATTTACTAATAACATTGAAGATATCTTCATGGTCTTGCTGTGTATGCCTTATTTATAAAGTGTCTGTTCAAATATTTTGTTCGCTCTTTAAATCCAATGTTTTTCTTGTTTTTACTAAGCTCTGGGAGTTCTTCATATATTCTGGAAACAGATCTATAACCAGGTGTACATTTTATAAATATGTTCTCCCAGTCTGTGGTTTGTCTTTTCATTTTCTTAAACTATCTTTTGAAGAACAAAATTTTGAAATTTTAATGATGTCCAATTTATCAGATTTTTTTTCTTGTAGAATTCTTGCTTTTTGTGTTCTAAAATCTTTGCCTTACATGAGGTCACAAGTATTTTATGTTTTCTCCCAGAAGTTTTATAGTTTTAGCTCTTTATTTAGATCAGTTTTATAATGAATTCAACAATTCCAGGATATACGGTCAACATGCGAAAGTCAATTCTATTTTTATTTGTCGTTGTTGTTCAGTTGCTCAGTCATGTCCAACTCTCTGTGACCCCGTGGACTGCTGCACACCAGGCCTCCCTGTCCTTCACCATCTCATGGAGTCTGCTCAAACTCATGTCCATTGAGTCCATGATGCCATCCAACCACCTCATCCTCTGTCATCCCCTTCTCCTCCTGCCTTCAATCTTTCCCAGCATCAGGATCTTTTCCAACAACAAAAAATTAATATCTGAAAATCTTTAAAATACTAAAAGCATGAAATGCTTAAGGATAAACTTAGCAAAATATGAGCAAGATCTGAACACTAAAAACTATAAAACATTTCTGAGAAATAGTTTTTTAAAAAATATTTCTTGTACTTGGAGTTTATTGACCTTCTCGGCCATATGGACTTAAGAGTTTTCATCAAATTTGGATAAAATTCAGCCATTCTTCCTTTGCATATTTTTTTCTGTCTCCCCTACCCCTTCCTGTCACCTCAGTTACACAGATGTTATACTGATATCTCACAGGCTGTTGGGAATCTGGTTGTTGGTTTTTTCCTGCTCAACCTATGCCACATTTTAGGTAGTTTCTGTTGCTATGGTTTCAAGTACACCTTTTGTTCTGCAGTATAGTACAGTACAGAGCAGTGCTCAGTCCTATCTGACGCTTTGTGACTCCATGGACTGCAGCCCTCCAGGCTCCTCTGTCCATGGGATTTTCCAGGCAAGGATACTGGAGTGGGTTGCCATTTCCTACTCCAGGGGATCTTCCTGACCCAGGGATCAAACTGGATGTCTCTGGCATCTCCTGCATTGGCAGGCAGATTCTTTACCACTGAACCACCTGAGATCCTTCCAATTCTAGTAAGAGTCCCTGCAGGTTTTTACAAATAGATATTGAGAGGCTGATTCTAAAATTAATATGTAAAAACCAAAAGACCTAGAATAGCTGTTAATCCTATCCATTGTGTTTTTCATTTCTGTTATTGTGTTTTGCTTCCACAGAACTTCTGTTTGGGTATCTTGTATGTCTTCTACTCTCCTCATCATGGCCCTTTGTTTTGTCTTTACATTCTCAAGCATGTTTATAATATATGTTGTAACATCTTTGTCTAAGTCCATCATCTCTGACACTTCTGGGTCTGTTTCTAATTACTAATTTTCTCCTGGTTATGAATTGTGTTCTCCTGGTTTTTTTTTGCATGCTTGATAATTTGTTATTGGATGTCATGCATTGTGAATCACATGTTGTCCTGTTCTGTATTTTGTGGTATTTCTCTAAATAGTACTGTACTTTGTTTGGGTGCACAGTTACATTATTTAGGATGATTTGGATACTTTCAAGACTTGCTCTGTAACTTCTGTTAGGGTGAGTCCAGAGCAGCCTTTATTGTGGGTCTGATTCAGCCCCAGAGCTAAGGTGCTACACCGCTGAGGACTCATTCTACTGCCTTGTATATTACAAGCTCTCTGCATCCTTGATGATGGAATACAGATTATTCCCAGCTCCGGTTGAGCTCCAGGCACTGTGGCGCCTCATGTTTCCTGGTAGTTTTCTTTCACGTGTGTATAGACTAACCCTCTGCCGAAGTCTGAGGGGGAACTTGGTGCAGCTTTCTAGAGTGGTGAGTCCCTGTCCTCCCTTCCTCTTTCTCTTCTTCCTTCTCTCTCTCTTTTGTCTGCAGGTGCCTTTCTTCTAGTTTTGTGCCTGGCATGTCCTAGCTGTCTTGGCCTCTCTGAACTCCAGTATCTGTCTCCTCAACTCAGTGAGGCTGACACCAGTTGGCTGTAAAGCTCACTTCATTATTTTCTCTCTCAGCGAAGACAGTTCTGCACAACTTGTGGATCAGTGTCTGGAAACCGTTGTTTTATATATCTTGCTCGTGTTTCTAGTTGTTCAAGAAGAGAGAGTGTTATGATTCCTTTTACTCAAGTATGGTTTTTAAAAACTATTTAATTAATTATTTATTTGACTGCACTGGGTCTTAGCTGTGCGTGGGGTCTTTTCTGTAGTTGTGGTAGGCAGGCTTCTCTTGTCGAGGAGCCCGGGCTCTAGAGTGCACGGGCTCGGTAAACATGAGTGCGGGCTTTGTAGTCCCACAGAATGCAGGATCTTAGCTCCCTGACCAGGGACCAAACCCACGTCCTCTGTACTGGAAAGCGGGTTTTTAACCACTGGACCACCAGGGAAGTCCCTCCAATACTGATTTTTAATAGATGTAATCTGTAAGTAGAGATGAACATATTTATTTATTTGTAGGTGTGTGCTCAATATTTTTCCTGATGAAGTGGCAATCAAAAATTCCAGAAAGTGGTCTGAGATAAAGATTATATAGCTTGGCATGTACAAATTCTTTTGTGGATGGTCCTTTCTTTTATATGTTTGTTAAACTGAAATGTTTAAAGTCCTCCTCCAGCCCATGCAGTCTCCCCTCCCCACCCAGCAAGTGTTGTACCCTACATTTTTTACTAAGCACTATATGATAACATGTTTCTCTGGGATACATAGTAGTCCTCTTGAGACATTTTTGTCGAATACTGCGGTCTTGTACTGTACTTAAAGTTGATCTGTTAGTTACTATTTTGTTTTGTTATGCTTTACTTGTAGAAAATCTTATAGAAGAAGGAACATTTTTAGATATGCTTCTAACTTCAAAAGAATTGGTGAGGTTTTTTTATACTGTTGAGTTCACTGGAACTAGATATTATTTGGCTGTTTAATTATCACAGGGTTGCCATGAGTAAATTCAAATTTCTATGATAAACATAGTTTATAAGCTCAAGTAATCAAACACAGTTTTCTACAAAAACATTCCAACACATGTAGTTTACTATAATAAACATCCAGAGCCTTAAAGCACCAGTCAACAGTCTTTGGAAGATGACAATTAAACCCTAGATGTTGCAATAAAGCTTCTTGCCCTTTCTTGTAAATAATAATTAAAGCAAATATTTACATAGCATTGACTTTGTTCTAAATGCTTAAGTATTTTAATTCATATAAGAAATGTGCTTTTATGATGATAGCCTCAGGGGAAGTTTAGATTTAATTTAAATTTTCTGGTTACTGGTATATAAATATTTACTGTTTGCTTCTTCCTAATCTATGTAAGCAAAGGGTAACAGCGAACCCAGTGCTTTGCATTCTCAAAGTCACTTGAGTCAACAACTTTGCTACTTCAAATTTCTTCCAAGTTTTCTCATTAATTGCAGCTGAAGCACATGGCCTCTGATTTAAACTTTAATTATATACCGTGGTTTGAGTTAAAGATTTTGTGGTCTATAATTTTTGATGTCTTTAAGGTTCAGTCATTTTGTTTGACTTGAATCTTCTACTGTAACCCAAAATAACTCTAGAACCTTGAGCACCTTGTTTTGCGTTTACTTCCTGGTCTGAAAAATATGGATACTAAACACCTACCTCTTAGAATTGTCATGAGGATTGGATGAGAGATCATCTGTATAGCACCTAGAACAGGGGCTGGAAATTAATGCCTGCTCAGTAAAGTTAGCAGTAGCAGAAATAGTACTAAGATTAGTAGTAGCAGTAGTAGTAACTGCTCACTGAATTTAATATTAGAAGTAATAATAGTAGTAGTAATTGCCCCATAAATTTAATAGTAGTGGTGTATCAATACTAGTAGTACTTAATGGCTTATCTAATGAATAGTACAGTTAATGGTTTGCCATAAATTATTCAACCATGCCCCTACCACGGGACATTTTGTTTATTCCTAATTCTTTATCATCGTAAGTAAAGCTGCAATTAATATGCATGTGCACAGAGATTTTTCTTTTCCCCTTTCTTTGGATGATTCCCTTAAGGGAGTGTCCCAGAAGTGGGAGGACTGCCTTGAACACAAGTGTCTTGGAGAGAGTGAAGATGTCCACAGCACCTCCTTCTCCTTCCCACCCTGGCGTCTCCTCATCTCCTTTCACCCCCATGTGGGGGCTAGTGACTGTGCCGGAGGGGGAAGAAGGACCAGGCTTCTTTGGGGTGGGCATCGCCTATGGTACGTCTCTTTCCCTCCTGTGCCGCCAGCCCTGCTCAAGTTCAGTGATGTGTGAGATAACATGTGGTGTCCCTCTTAGGGTCACTTGCATTAAGAATTTTTTTTAATTGGAGTATAGTTGCTTTACAATATTGTGTCAGTTTCTACTGTACAGCAAAGTAAGCCAGCTATATGTGTACATAGATCCCGTCTTTTTTGGATTTCTTTCCCATTCAGAGAAAGAGCTGTACAGTAGGTTCTCATTAGTTATCTATTTTATGCATAGTGGTGGATATATGTCGCAGAGCTTCCCAGGAGGCACTAGTGGTAAAGAACCTGCCTGCCAGTGCAGGAGACATAAGAGACACAGGTTTGATCTCTGGGTCAGGAAGATTCCCTGGAGAAGAGAATGGTAACCCACTCCAGTGTTCTTGCCTGAAGAATCCCATGGACAGAGGAGCCTCATGGGCTACAGTCCATGGGGTCACATTGACTCGGATACAACAGAAGCAACTTCAATTATGAGTGCACATATATATGTCAATCCCAGTCTCCCAGTTCATCCCACCCTCCTTCCTCCTTTGGAGGTCTTATGTTTATAGGGCCATTTGCATTTTAACAATGGCTGAGATTTTAAGCCAAAGGAAAAGTGGGCTAATAAAACAGTAGAGAACAAGCTGGGATGGCCTGAATCCTTGAGGGAGAGGCAGGGATGAGGGGCAGCACTCAGCAGTCTTCTCCCCTTCCTGGCACACAGGGAAAGTGATTACGTTTGTCTGCCACCTCTGGGATCACAGAGGAAACTGCTTGAGCTCGGAGATGCCCACTGAAAGCACCAGTTCCTAAAGCTGGTGGGATCAACAGCTCACAGACCTGTCCCATTGCAGACAGAGCCGTGGACACTCACGCCTAATGGGTCTCCTTGATGCCAGTCTCTGAGCTGTCCATTCAGGCCTCTGACGCCCCTCCCTGAATTGCCCTTTTCATCTCATCTTGCCCTGCTCCAGGACCCTCTCCCTGCCCTCCTTCCCTAGCAGGGCATTCCAGATCCTTCCCATTCTGGCCTCAGTGTGTATTCAGTCCTGTCCCCTGTCACGCCCATTCAAGGATGCTCTGTCCCAGCCTGGCAGTCACATCGTGACCCACCAACACCAGTCTCCTGCCCTTGGCTCTGCTGCTCCCTTCTGCTTTCACCTCCTTTCTCCTTCTGCTGTACCTTCCTTTCACCTCCTCTTTGAGTCTCACCCATCTGCCAAGACCTCACCCAGTCCCCCCCAGCCTGGGAAGCAGCTCTGTCTGCTCCTGCCTTCCCTGTATATCAATAGCATTTGCCCTCTGATCCACTCCCAGGTGGTTCAGACAGTAAAGAATCCGCCTGCAACGCAGGAGACGCAGGTTCAATCCCTGGGTTAGGAAGATCCCCTGGAGAAGAGAATGGCAACCCACTCCAGTATTCTTGCCTGGAGAATCCCACAGACAGAGGAGACTGACAGGCTACAGTCCACAAGGTCGCAAAGAGTTGGACATGACTAAAGTGACTTAGTATGCATGCACACACTCAAATATGAGGTCTAGCTCCTGGGGTGGTTGTAAGGCTTACATTGGACAGTGGCTATAAGGTAACTCGTGTATGCCGTGCATAGGGCCTGCCCAGCTCAAGCAGCCCAAGGTGGCCATCTTTCCCCTCTATGGTGTTGGTCAGATGGAGGTACTGGATGAACACGTTAGCGGATGGTATTTGTATGAGTCCCCTCCAAGCCCTGGGGCAGAGTGGCTGGCGTCCTGCCCTGTCCCCATCACAGGTGCTGGCCCCTCAGCCCTGCCCTCTCCTCCCGCCACATAGGCCGTTTTCTGGAGCTGCACATGTACATGACCTCTGCGCTGAGCAAGAACGACATAAAGGCCATTGGTCTGCAGATGGCCCTCGACCTCCTGGCCAAGAAGGAGAAGAAGGATTCTATCACGGGCCTCCAGACACGTACCCAGCCTGGGCGGCCTGATTGGAACAAGGTAAAGGCCACCTGGAGTCCTGAAGCCTGCAGAGACTAGTGGGGCTGAGAGCCGGAGGCACTGGCTAGGGCGATTTGGGCCAAGCAACCAGAAGCATAGCTTGGGACCAGCATCCAGAGTCCAGCTAGGATCTCAGGGCTGGAATGGGAGGCAGGGTACCTATGTTCTGGCTCCATCACTACCTCACTTTGTTCCACCACTAGCCTCTGTTTCCCCATCTACTCACAGAGCAAGTTAGTCCATGGGACCTCTAAGGCCCCTCCCAGCCTGCAAACACCCTGCAGACCAGAGTCCAAAGGCCCCAGTGGACAGAGTTCTGGGGAGATATCAGGCCTTATCCCAGTCTATTTTATTCCTCAGATTGATTTTATTATTATTTTTCCTCCCTGAGCACTTACCAGTTGGGGTGTAGTGTTTGCCTGAAATGACCAGAAGGTATTGCTTTTCAAACTGCTGTAGGTGATCTGTGTTTAGATGGTAAGAGCTGGTGGGGAAGGGATGCCAGCAGGCCTTGAACACCAAGAAAACTTTAGGCAAGGAAATTCTTAAGCAGAACTTGGGGTGGAAAACGGTCCTCCCCGGGGAAGAAAGCCTGACTTCAGGACAGAGGCATTTCAGTGGAGGCCTGTGAGCTGACGTGAAGTTGGGGTGTTGGGGCTCAGTGTGCCTGCTGCGTGCTGGGCTCTGCCATCGCCCCCCAGCACTGCAGCTGGTTAGTACATGTCTCCCCCATGGATGCAGCCCGTTAAGTGGAGGGCCTGGGTCTTATCTGCTTCTGGTCCAGCCCTCCCTGGGGTCTGGGTCAGGTTATACATTGAGCAAATGGCCCCTAAACTAATGGCCGAAGCCAAGCAACTATGCCCTGGAGCTCCTCATGGGGAGGACAGCCACCCTGGCCTATGATGCCCTCAGTCCCACTGGGTGAGTCACTGGGCGGGTTCGAAGTCCCCCTCTTCTCCCTCTGCCCTTCCCCCATTCTGCGGACTCTAGGTGTTCCAGAAGGTGGCCGCTGAGAAGAAAGGCAAGGTGCAGGTCTTCTTCTGTGGCTCCCCAGCTCTGGCCAAGATCCTCAAGGGCCACTGTGAGCAGTTCAGCTTCAAGTTTTTCCAGGAGAACTTCTAGCCCTACCTCTCCCAGCTCTGCCCAAACCCACACTGCCCACCAGCCTGATCAGACTGCTGCTGGTGCCCTGCAGGGACCAGCCTCAAGAGGACCCAGCAAATCCAGCTCCACATGCAGAACAGGAGGCCCTAGGAGGCAGATGGACTTCCTTGAGAGCCCAGGGAGAGGGCGGGGCCTTGTGGGGTGTTGCTGTGAGTTTGGGAATTGCTGTGGGGCTGGGCAGACTTGGTCGGGGGGTAGAGGGGTGGGGGTGACGTGGTTGGGGAGCACAGGGGGCCTCCCCAGGGCAACTCGTCTTCCAGAAGTCCTCTGAGGACACCTTCCCTCCTACAGTGGCCCCAGACCCACCTGATCATCATGGTCATTCCGGAACTTACACACACACAGCATTTTATTATGAAAATTTTCGGACATACAGAAAATTTAAAGACTCGTCCAGGGAACAGCGTTACCCACTTTTTAGATTCCTCAGTTAACATTTTGCTGTGTTTGGTTTACTGCATATTTTCTATCTCCCCCTCCCTCTATTCATCCATCAGGCTATCCTGTTTTTCTGATGCATTTCAAAGCACACCTTGCTACTCAGAGGAACTTTCTCTAAAGGTAGATTCCTGGGATCCATGCCCAGAAATTCTGATTCTGCAGATCTGGTGTTGAGACATGGAATGTGTGTTTTATCCAGAATCCATGTCCATGGGGAGAGATGAGCAGCTAATTTCCTCTTCTCTTTGTCTTCCCATCGCTCTTTATATCTATGTCCCTTTTCTTCTGTGTTTCTCCTGTGTCGCTCCCCTGTGTTGTCCCTTCCTTGCTCTGCATGATGCTTTTCCCTTCTCTCCACACACTGAATCATTAGAGAAGTGGGGTGGAGACAGAATCTCTGTGTGTGTCTCCATGGAAGTCAGAGAAGTCCTGTGCCTAGGAATCTGGCAGGTTTTGGCTTGTAGCTCAGTTCAGCTGTGCCCCAGTGGTGAGCCCTGGAAACCTCCTCGAGCTTGTTTCATCTGAAGGATGGGCCTGATGCCCCACCTCCCCAATCACAGTTGCTGGGGGGGAAATGAGACATCACCAGTAGTGCTCAGGACATTCATCCTTTGTCCCTGGGTGGCTCTTTATATTGCTCCAGCATCTGAGTCTCTGCATCTTCTGTCTATTTCATGAAAGTGAAAGTGAAAGCCACTCAGTTGTGTCCAACTCTTTGAGACCCCATGGACTATGCAGTCCATGGAATTCTCCAGGCCAGAATACTGAAGTGGGTAGCCTTTCCTTTCTCCAGGGAATCTTCCCAACCCGGGGATCAAATCCAGGTCTCCCACATTGCAGGTGGATTTTTTACCAGGTGAACCACAAGGGAAGCCCAAGAATCCTGGAGTGGGCAGCCTGTTCCTTCTCGAGGGGATCTTCCCGACCCAGAAATCGAACCAGGGTCTCCTGCATCGCAGGCAAATTCTTTACCAACTGAGCTATGAGGGAAGCCTGTTTCCTACTTCATAGCTCCCTCTCTGTCTGTGTTGGAGCCTCTTTTTGTATATGTCACTGTCCAGACAGGTATAGATGGCAAGGACAGCAAATACAGAAGCTCTCCTGGGAGACTCTTTGGGGAGGTGATGCCCTGGGTGGCAGGCAGGGGCAGCAGGGCTGGCCTCACCCCCAGACCTGAGCTGGGTGTTTCTCTCTGCCCCACACTGAAAGCCCCTGGGGACCTCACAGTTGCCTCATGTCCTCTGCCTTGCAGCTGGTCTTGCTGGGTTGCACCTCTTGTGACAGTCTAAACTCTCCTCCCCAAAGCGGCTTTCAGGGGGTTGGAATCAGGCACTTTCCAATGGGATTGTAGAATATACCTTTCTTTTCTGTGGGTTAGAAGTCCTGGGCACGGAACAGGTAGAGATGACAACCATGATGGTGACACCTCTTAAAAGGGCTGGGCATCAGAGAGGGACCTGGGACACAGCAGGTGAGGGGAGTGCAGAGGACACTTGGAGTCATCTTGTGGGTGACAATGAAACGACATCGGTGAGAGAAGTTCTTTCCAAATAGCAGCAGCAAAAGCGGACTTCCCTGGTGGCCCAGTGGCTAAGATTCTGTGCTCCCAGTGCCGGGGGTCCAGGCTTGATCCCTGGCCAGGGAACTAAATCCCACATGCCACAAGGAAAAGTTCCCATTCCTCAACTAAGATATCCCACATGCCACTACTAAAGATCCCACACGCCACCACTAAAACCCAGCACAACCAAATAAATTTATTTTTAAAAAGCAGCAGCAGCAAGAAAAGGGGATGGTAGATAAGGATGTTGAAGTGCACCTTGGGACAGAGGGCAGGACAGAGCATGAGGACTGGGACAGAGAAAAGGTGGGACACAGGACATCATATTCCAGATGTAGGAAGAGCTTGAGGAAGAATGCAAGAGGAAGAGTGGGACCCAGCTGTCAGCCCAGGTAACGGAGGCGCCCACGCGAGCCCTATGGAGGGCAGGAAGGAGGGGCACTGGGTCCACAGGGCCTCTCCTGGGGGTGGGCATCACATGTCTGAGAGGCCTGGTGCTGGGGCCTCTGTGCACGGTTGTGTTTCATTTCCAACAGGCCTGGGATAGACATCTAACTCCCATGGAGAAACTCGGACCAAGAATAGTCAACTTACCAGCCTGGGGTCACACTCCTGGAGCCCATTTCCTCCTGTTGAGTCTGTGTTTTCACCTTGTCATCAGACTTGGGAAAGCTTGGGGGAAGAAAAAGTGTCACTTAGCGGAGTGTAGATGTAGGCTAAGAGGGTATCCTGATGGGGGACTGGTAAAGAGAATATAGCAAAGTCATGTGGCAAGAGTTTGCAGACCATTCTAGTGTGTGCTAACAGGACTACACACACACACACACACACACACACACACACACACACACACTCATGCACACTCATGCACACACAGTCACCATTATCTTACAGTTTGCCCAGGACAGCTGCTCATACTCCCCTGAAACACTGGTCCCCCAGTCCGCAGTCCCTTGCTCTCTCATTACAGATTTCCACTGATCTGCCACTGCATACAAACAGCAATTTTATCTTCCAAAGGGCATGGGAGCATGTGGAGGAACTTGCACCTAGATTCTAAAATCCTTGAAGGATCCACAGGTGTGACTTGTGACCATGTGTGTCCAAGGCTTTCTCGCCGGACATACCCTAGTTACCCACTGGAGGGCGCTGCGGAACCGGCGATCTCAAGAGGGTTTGTTCTGCTGGGAGGGAGGCTGATTTCCGAAGGGTAGTGAATCTGGAAGAGCCGGGAAATAAAGCCCCACCCTAAAGCTCTTTGCTGGAGGCAACAGCTCCATGCCGGGACTCAGGCAGAACCGTGAAGTCAAGAGACTTCATTTTCAAGATTAGAGTTTCTCGGGATTTCGTGGTGGTCCAGTGGTTAAGACTGTGTTTCAGAGTCTCATGCACCTTCACAGGGTGCATGGGTTCCATCCCTGGTCGGGAACTTCCAAATGTCCTGAGGCACGGCAAAGAAGAAAAGTCAGTTTCTCTAGCTGCCAGCCTCTTAGCGACACGCAAATGCACACACCGCCCTCCACCTCCCCACCCTCTGCTCCACACCCACACCACACCACGCACACACAGCCCTACACCTCCCCACCCTCTGCTGCACACACACACCACAGCACGCACACACAGCCCTACACCTCCCCACCCTCTGCTCCACACCCACACCACACCACGCACACACAGCCCTCCACCTCCCCACCCTCTGCTCCACACCCACACCACACCACGCACACACAGCCCTACACCTCCCCACCCTCTGCTGCGCGCGCGCACACACACATGCGCACCACCCCTCCCATCCTTGTGCCCAGTGTACAAGTTCTGGGCTTCCCTCTTTTCTAGCTGCAGGTCAGAGCAGGTCTGGGGCGGCGGGCTGGAGGGTGGGGGGAGTTCACTGGCCCAGGCTCTGCCACCTCACCTCATCATAGGTGACAGGATCAAGTATGTGGGCGTACAGATCAGCCGGGCCGTCCATCTGGATGTTTCCTAGATGCCCAGATGGGGGCCAACCTGCCGTTAACCAGAAACAAGTGCATCCCCACGACTGGCTTTTTCTTCTTCCACCCAGGTGTTGGCAGTGCCCTAGGCGAACAGAGAGGGAATGCAGGTGAACTCGAGATCAGGGCGGGTTATTAGGGTGTGTACCGCCCACTCCATCCAGCTGGGAGCTCCCAGAGGTCAGGCCTGTGGCCTCAGGGCCTCCTGTAGACGGAGGGGCCTTGCGCGGGTATCAGCTCCCCCCTGGTGAGGGGCTTCTTAAACAGAATCGTCCTCGGGAAGCGTCCTCCGCTTGTAACTGTCACGGCAATCTGGGAACAAAAGCGAGAACACAAGCCCGCTGGACGAATCGCTTTGCCAGGCTCCGGGACGCTGCTCTGCCGTGACGCCAGCTCTGGAGCAGACAGCAGCATCAGTGACACAAACCGTCTGACAGCCTCCCGCACGTGCGGTCTATTGATGCGCTGAGAGCCGGCGGTGCTGAGGAGCGCCGCCGCCTTGCAGACAAGGTGGAGGTGGTTCTTGTTCACTCAGCCGTGTCCGACTCTGCGACCCCACGGACTGCAGCACACCAGGCTTCCCTGTCCTTCACCATCTCCCCGAGCTTGCTCCAATCCATGTCCACTGAGTCCGTGTTGCCAGCCAGCCATCTCGTCCTCTGTCCTCCCCTTCTCCTGCTTTCGATCTTTCCCAGCATCAGGGTCTTTTCTAATGGGTCAGCTCTTCGCATCAGGTGGCCACAGTATTGAAGCTTAGAGAGATTAGCCACTCCGGTCAAGATCGGCTGCGGGCAAACTCCTGGGGCCTGTGCAGTGTGGGAAGGCTTTTGCCCTCTGAAATCCAGGAGCGGCCTCTGCTTCGGGTCTGTGACCTAGATCTGCCCTGGGACCTCCCGGAGCTCTTCCTGCCTCAGTGAACAGATGAACGATGTGCACATTTAAAGGCTTATAGGAGCATAGTCTTTCCACAAAGTTACACAGAAATGTGTTTTATCTGTTTGCTCTGAGTGGGAAGGACGGTGTGGGTTTTTTTTTTTTTTTACCTTTTTATTTTCTACCCCTGTATCAATTTTGATATTTTTATGACAAACATGTATTAGTTTTATAGCTGTATTTTTTAAAAAAGAAATCCAAAATAGAAGGCTGATTAAAAATTCAAATGTCATGTTTTCATGTGTTTCCATTCCATCTAACAAAAAACAAAGAGTGTCTGCGTATCGTGCAGGAAATAAATAGAAATGTGTTGGAAGAGGGTAAGAAGGATACACACCTAACAGTGCCCAGCGGTCAACTGGAAGGAGGTAAAGCAGCACTTTGAACAGTCCTCTCTGTTCTATTTCATGTATTTCTCTATTACCCATTGAATGTTTCACAGCATAGAATTTTTATACCATGCGCTTCATATAGTACTCGGTTTTTATCTGTGTACGTATGTGATGGTCTGCGTCCTTTTTAAAAGAATAAAGCAGAATGGAGAGAGTGTCTGAGGTGTCTCCTAAAGACCCCTCATATTGATGAGTTCTCCCATGGGAGTGTTTGGGGCCCTGCTGGCCCTGGGAATGGGCCCCTTCCACTGGGGGGCGCTCCCGCCTCTTCTACAGAGCAAGGCACAGGAGCACTGTGCTCAGATTCAGAATGCAAAGCTGCCAGCCAGACGTGCTCTAAGTGTTCAAATTAAAGGCCCTTCCAGGCCCAGGGCTGGTCCAGAAAGACTGCTTTGGGGGCACTGACTCTGCTAAACAAATACTCACATTAACCAGCTTTCCTGACAGATTGATGCATCTTTTTATGATCTGTCTTTACAATATGATGACTCTCTCCTTTTAAAAATAAGATTAATTCAGACAAGACATTTATTTTACAGGGAAATCCATCCTGGGGGGGATGAAGACTCCAGCAGAAAGGCAGAGATGGCTGAAGAAAGAGCACTCTCAAGGAAGCTTCCTGCCTCCCAACATTAGCTCTGTGACAGTGGCCCCAAATTAGCTGCCCTAATCCTACACCACCTGGAATCACCCCAGTTGCATGAGTGTTGCCTCCTGGAGAAAAAATAAATCAGGGAGTGGGTTTCAGTGTGTGGTGGGGGGGGGTGGCGGGGTGGGGTGGGAGGAAGTGAGGGAGGGAATGGGTGTATTATTTTTTTGGTAAAAGAAAAAAGTTCTGAGATTCTCCCAAACTTGTTTGGACATATGTGTATACAGATTAAGCTTGTCTTTAAAAAATAGAGAAGTACATCCAAGGGAAATGAATTACTCGTCTCTGTCTCTATGTCTGGAATAGCACTGCCATCTAGCAGGTGCTTGGCAGTGGTTCGTGAAGGCTTCTGCGCTGTGATCCCTGTTTCAGCTGGTGGCATCAGCAGGTACCCTTGACTCCTCTGTCTCCCCATCTTCCTCCCTCAGCCAGCCACCAAGGGCTGCCAGCATGCTTCTCACATCCATTCCCTCCTGTGTCGGTACTGCGTTGGTTCAGTCCTTCCATAGACTGTTGCCTGGACTATTACATCCATCTCCTGGTTGGTCGTCCTTTCTCCAGCCTCTCTGGGTCTGACCCATCCTCCACACTGTTGCAGATCTGATTAGACCCCTTCCTGTTGGATAACTGTCCTGTCACAGTCATCAGATTGCCAAGACTGGCCACAGGCCTTCCTGTGCGAGCCTTTGATTCAGTTCTGCAGGCAGTATCATTACTGGCCCTTCTTCCTGTGTCTGGCCAACATCCATTTCACCTTCATACTCTAAAAATGCTGTAGAACTCAGCGTTGCCATGAACCCTATGCCATTTCACACCTTCAAGCCTTTGCTTCTGTGGTGCCTGACATTTGGATCACGCTTCCCCACCTTCAGATTGAGATCTCAGAACATTTTATCAGCTCATCTGTGAAGACTTCCTTGCTGCTCCCTCCTGGCGTAGAACAACCTCCTCTGTGTGATTGCATTGGACCTATTTCCACCACAGCATCTGTCACAGGCATCAGCTTTACCTGTACCTGTCTGTGAACCCCTTGAGGGTAGGAACAGTGTCTGTGCATCTTTGTCTTCTCCATGCCTGGCACATAGTAGGTGATCATGTGTTGGTGCTGATGACCTGACACAACTCACTTGAAGCCCCGTCTCTCTCTCTACTCCCTTTCTCTGCTCTGCTCTGCCCCTTCCGGGATAAAGAAACTCCGACATCTCTGCCGGCAGACTGGACCAGCCTTACATGTGGATACAGTAGGCGGCTGCCTTCAAGGTGCAACTCAAGGGTCCCTAGAAAGATCCCTGCCTCTCCCGTCTTCCACCCCTCCCACAGTTGCTTCTCTTCTGAGTGGCGGTCAAGATTCCTATAGGTCCGCCTTCAGCTCCCCCTGTAGAATGAGGAGGAGGGACTCAGGGTCCCCTGTAACTCTGCGATCCTTCCTCCTCCTCTTCCTCCTTCTTCTTCTTTCTTCTTCTAACTCAAAAGAGATGAATGACTTAGAAACAGCCAATGAATCAGAAATAGGGGAAAGCAAAAAAAAAAAAAAACCAAAGAGTAATTTTGCCAAGTTATTATTCAAAGGAGCTCTCTGGGACCAGGAGCAGAACAGTGCCATCAATCACCGTGCAGAGCTCTGGGCCTGGGGTGGGGGGAGGTGGCCGCGCTGTCTGTGAATGGCTCTGGGCTCCGTGCATGAGTGAGCAGCCAGCCCAGGGAAGCTGGGGCCCTCTGCCAGGCACCACAGAGGGAGGGTGGGAGGCCAGAGGGACACTGAAAGGGGACAGGCAGCCCCAAGTCCTGGGACAAGGCTTACTGACCTGCTTTCCTCAACAGGCCAGAGCCCTGGGGCCTGCCCTCTGGACTGGACTGGGCCAGCTCTGGGGAAAGCACTATTTGGAGCAGAGGGAAGAGGGATGCAGGAGGCAGGCCTCAAGTCTGGAGCCTCTTCTGCTCAGCTGCTCTCCCCAAGCCTTTGCTACCCTGAGGGAGGCAGCCTTGTCCCACCAGAAGGGGGCCTAGTTCACACTCATCCCTGCATCCCAGGGCTTAGCTCAATGCAGTTTCCTTGAAAGAGTGAACTGATTTGAGGATGACAAACTTGTTACAGGACATTGTTTGCTTCTCTTTGGGTTTTTAAAAAATTACTTTACCGTAATTTTTCTGCATAGGTTATCACTGCTTATTACATTGCAATTATAACCCACTTGGGGCAGAAGGGAAATCTGATTTCTCTCTGCGCACACGTTCCACAAATAGGAAGCCCCTGAAAAATATGTATGGAAGGAAAGAGGACAGGAGGGAGAGGCAGAACTTCTTGATGGCATCTAAGCTGCCATGCATCCCCATGGTTCCACTGTGTCATCATCTGGGTCACTGTTGGCCCCAGGCTCTGCATTGGAGGACATTTTGTTGCTGCTTACTAGGTGAGTTTGTTGCATTCTTAGGTTCTAGGTGCTGGAGTTGAACAGTGGACAAAAGATTTCAAGGGCTGCTCTGTTTCCTCATCTGTAAAATGGTACCTGTCAGATAGGGAAATGGGAAAATGATTAAATAAATTCATGTGTATAAGGTGTTTAAGACAGTGCTTGGCAGCTAGTAAGTTTTAATAAATGCTGGTTATTTCTGTCTTAGTGTGTTTGGACTGCTATAGCCCAATACCATAACCTGGAGGTCTTATAAACTACAGAATTTGTGTTTCTCACAGTTCAGGAGGCTGGAGTCAGAGATCAGGGTCCCAGCATGGTCCGGTTCTGGTGAGGACCCTCTTCCAAGTTGCCCCTCTGCCATCAGGACTGGTCTGCTGCCCTTTGTCTTCAGGCCCATTATCACTAGACACATTTGTGAGCCTGATAAACAACCTTCCTTCCCAGGGAGGACTACCAGGCACCCAGGAGTCCGCAAACACTGCCCGCCACCCACCATGTCCCTGGGGAAGCCTTGACCAGCTATGTGGACATCACTGCATCATTTCCAAAAGCAGCAAATCTTCCCCGGCTGCAGGAGGCCCGGGAAGACAGGAAAATGGAATCACAGCCCCTCCAGCTCTTCAGCTCTGCATTGTGAATTCTGGGGATAATGTGTCTTCTTTTCTCCGCTGATTGTTCCTGAAATCTCCTGCCTGTTTATCAAATCTGAGTGCTTCGCTGCACTTGGCTCTTCAGCTCTGTCTGTGCGCCTCTTCTCTAGAAAGGGGAGACAGAGATGTGCTCCTGGGGCATTTCCGTCCAGTGTTGAGGACAGGAAGGCCAGTTTCAATGAGACTGTCCCCGTGTCACCAGGGGAGCAAGCAGATGGGTGGGCTTGCAGGGCATGAGGCAGGAGGGCCTCAGAAAGCACCCGACACCCCTGTCTAGGCTGGGCTGAGGCTCATCTCCCAGAAAGGAAAGTCCCCTCCTCACACTGCACTCTCCCAACAAAACCCGATCGAGGCAGCCGAGGCATATTCATTCATTCACTCCAAAGGCACAGCACCAGGTGACAAGGACAGACAACTTTAGTGCCACTGCAGTTAAGTAAATGCCAGAACAGGGCCTCGT